CGCCGACCCACCTTCGAGCTGCCACGCCGAAGAGGGGGTGCAGGGGGGGGGGGCCTGCCCGGCGAGTTTCCGTAGCGCGCGCCCGGTCTCCGCGTGGGGGGCCAACCCCCCCCCCCCCTCCACAACTGGGGGTCTAGGGTCGCGATCACAAACACTTTATCGAAGTGATTGCACGAAAGAATGAAAAACTTTATTTAAAAAAAGTATCACGTCGTCGAAACTTATGGCCACCTCTGATTCCCGCTCACGGCCAACACCAGTGACGATCGTTTGATCCGGTCCCGCGCCTCCCCTCTGTCGACTCAGCCTCAAATGAGTACCTGGTGCGATGTGTAAACATCGCCCATCGAAAGACAAAGACGGCCGGGCGTAGTGTTGGTCACCCACCCTCTGGTGTCCCGTGGCGGCCTTAATATGTGCTCGTGAACGCACTTGCCCCAACAGTCTGCCGAGAGTATACGGGAGATCTTTGTCTTTGTTTTTTGCGTGTTTTTATTTCATGCCAACACTGGTGTCGCATGGCCATCACGTTGCGTTCTCACACGATGTGAATGATGGAAACATCCAAACGTCTGAATGTTTAAAGATAACATCTGAAATTGGCCTTAGAGATCCTGAAACCCGAAATGTTTTAAGACCAAAGTCCATTCCGAGGACGCGGATAAGCGTCTGATTCTGATGCTAATAATGCATGTGCATGCACTTTGTATTTCGTGATCATTTGCTAATTTGTTCGAGGGTGTGTGTGTGTGTTAGTCTGCCGTGGGAATTAACATGTCTGCAGAGCTGAGATAGAAATAGTTTTAGTCCGTTTCGTGTTGTTAACGCCTTAGAGTTAAGGTGGAGAGCGTTTATGTATTCGCAGTGTCCATGCGGTCCACGGTCAACCCATTACAAGAGGCGGCACGAGAACTCACGGGAAGATGTTGCAAATGTGAACGAAACTTTCGCGTGAACTTGTGTTGCCATTCGGAACCTACGATCTTAAAACTGTTATCAAATTGATCAAACTGTTGCGAAAAAGCTCGGCTGGCTTAAACAGAGCTAAATAAAATCGATACGATTTGCAATCATGCAAATTAAAAACGCGTGTTGCAAAAGCATTCGTGATTTTTTTGTTTAAATCGGAATACATTCAGGCCGGATTGGGATTGCACGGCGAGGTGTGAGTGCCACGTGACCCCAACCTTTGCGTTCATTGCCTCGTGTGAGCCTATGGGCTTCTATGCGCAAGACCACAACAGTCATGAAGTGTATTATCTTGTTCGTAATGACATTACATTAAAATCAGGTTTTTTCCCCCCTTATTTACGCGACTGCGAATATGTACGCGACGTTCAATGGTGAAAGTATAAGAAACAAATGTGTCCATTATGTAACAACAAACACATGTCCGTATGCTTGTGTCGTGAAAATTAACGATTTAAGAAGACATGAAAGATAAAATTATCGTGAAATGTGCACACCCAGCCTTCCTACTGTGGCGCACGTGTTAACAATTAACGTCCCAGTGTGGTTTCATTTCACATTTTCGCTGTGGTAGTGGGAATGTGTAAGATTGTGGACTTCGGGAGCCAAGGTGTGTGTGTTCTGTGTGCGTTTCGTGAGTGTGTGTGTGTGGGGAGCGGTGGCGCAGTGGTTAGCGCTGCGCTACGAATCTGGCGACCCGAGTTCAATTCCCGATCGCGGCCAACACCAGTGACGATTATCTGAATCGGTCTTGGGTTTCCCCTAGGTCGATTCAGTCGCAAAGAAGCACCTGGTGCGGTGTGTAGACATTGCCACTAGGGAGACAAAGGCGGCCACGCGTGTGGCTGGCCACTCTCCCCGTGTGCCGTGCCGGCCTTCACAGCCGCTCGCTGACAGCACTTGCCCCAACAGTCTGCAAAGGCTCTCCGGGAGATATTTGTCTTTGGGTGTTTATCGTCAATTTCCGGACGATGATGTATTGCTGTCGATGCCGAACTACGCAGACAGCGTCCTGCTGATCCCAGAGCGCGACTCGCACACTCACCCTGGTGTGTGTGGACGAGGGAGCCGATGCCTTGCACGCACAGCCACAGCTATTTCACGCACAAGACAAAGGTCCCCCGTGTAGCCTGTTGGAGCGTTAAGTCACAGAACCTGACAGCTTTGTGAGGCCTTCATCGAGCAGTGGATTAACCATGGAGGATGAAGCTTTTACATTGTTTTCGAGCTGGTTCTGCATTGCTATCTATTTTGTTTTCTGAAGCAGATGTATGTACTACGTTGAACTTCTTTCGCACCGTACGTTGCCAACCGTGATAAATAATCGGAGGTGTGGGGGAAGGACAGATAAATTAAACACCAAAGGCAACGCTAAAGAAATGCGTTTTCAATCTAGATTTAAACAACAAGAAAAACAACTCTCATGACGGGCACACTGTGCGAGAGAGGGGAGGTGGGACGGGGCTTCAATCCAGCAGTGGTATGACAGGGGGCTTGCGACCGTGTTCGACGTTTAAAAACCAAGCCGACACGAGGACGGGGCTGTGTTTTCCGCGTTCGCGATCGTTACGGGTTTTCGTGCCCGTCGGGTGACACCGGGAACTTTGGCAAAGGGATACATCTCAGAAAGTTGGGAGAGGGTTTGGAAATTTTCGTTGAATAAATATCAGAATTAAATAAAGAAACCCTCTTTCCCGTAAACCGAGAGAAATGTGAACGACTGTGCAGATTTTGAGATTCGCAGGAAGGAGTGAGTAACAGCAGACTCTCTGCAGTCGTCGCCTTTGTCTTGTTTTCATGCCGTGAAGTTGGACCGAGGCCATGCGAACGCGCAGGACCCGCTAGAGTTATTGTTGTTGTTGTGCTGCTGCTGCGAGAGTTATTATTATTATTGCTGTGCTGCTGCTGCTTCTAACAGAACAATCGCCAGTCCGAGGTCCCTGTGCATCGCGAAAACCTCCCCGATGTTACGCACGCATTCAATGTTGTCCCATTGCAGGAGAGGAATATGAGTAGCAATATAAATCAGCCTTTATATATCAGTCCCTCCAGATAAAAAATTATATGTAAATATGTATTTACACTTCATCATTGCTCCTTTGAGAGGATGGCTCCATTCAGAATATTTACCATCAATAAATATGAACAAATCCTTAAGTTATGCAGAGATTGCTGGTATTGTACTGAATTATGCTTATCTTACGCATTCCAAGAAGGCCGAACGGTTATTGAGAAATCATCTCAACACAGCTCAAATGAACGACAGATTAGCAACTTGTCCAAATGTTTGCGAGAGTCGGTGGCGGAGTGACTCAGGCGTCAGAAACAGAATTCTGGTTGCGACCTTGCGCTTCAGCCGCCTCTGATTTCGCTGGATGCTCTACTGCGGTGAGCTGATGGACTCGGCTCGGATACGAATGACTGCACAAAAAAACAAACGAAATGTTAAGTAAATTTTCATTCGATTTGTCTCCATTTATAAATTGACCGCTATGCATTGAGCATTTATCTGTAGTCCGGTGTGTTAAAACTTACCTCCCAACCACCCCTCTCCCTGCTAATGTGTGGGGAAAAGGCCACCCAAACATATCTCATGAAGCTGTTCTGTCATGTCTGCTTCTGCGGGCCGTTCTGCGACCGGCAAGCGCCGTTCTGCAACAGGCAAGCGCCGTTCTGCAACAGGCAAGCGCCGTTCTGCAACAGGCAAGCGCCGTTCTGCGAGGATTCATAAAGAGAAATGTCTCACCCCGGTATCGAACAGGAGACTTGGATGACGTCCGTTTGGAAACAACATCGAGATGTCGACGCACAGCAACAACGGACATCTCACGTGGAGGTGATCAAGCCGAATAACCTCGTCAGGAACAGCAGGGTCGTGCATCGCCGTGATGTCCCCTTCTTATTACGTGTGGATCGGACATTGCGTCGTTGACGTTACACGGTCTGTTCTGGATGACCACAGTCGCGCACGGGAGAGTTTTCGTGATCTACTTGTGTATCAGGTATCCGCATCTGCCACGGTTTGTGCGCATGCGGATTAGGGCGGACCATGCGCTTCGTGGAAGATCAAACCCAGAGATCTTCTGCGTTGCATTTTTCACAATGTTGGCGTGGCAGTGCGTACGTATGTATGTGGAACTTCTTTCACGCCGTACGCAGCGAACCGCGCTAATCGGAGGTGCGGGCAGCTCGAAGCCGGCAAGACGATCGGCAGGGGTTCGGCGACGGGAAACTGGTTCTCGGTGTCGGGGCTCGAGGCCGTTCCTCACGCACACGCCGGGTCCGCTGACGAGTCCGAGTTGTGGCAAGTTGCTCCACACGCAACACGCGCGGTGGTGTCTCGATGACGAGCGGGCTCGTGGAGGGTCGAGCGTGTCACAGGTGGCTACGCCTGTGTGTCACAGTGTGCGTCACAGTGTGTGTCACAGTGTGTGTGAGTGTGTGTCACAGTGTGTGTCACAGTGTGTGTCACAGTGCGCGTCACAGTGTGTGTCACAGTGTGTGTCACAGGTGTAGCCAACCTGCCCATCCGAACAACACCCAGGCTCGCCCCTGCTTAGCCTTTGAGGTCTGACAAGGTCATGCTCGTTCCGGCTGGTTTGGTCACGGGCGCACACAGACCATGCGCAGTTTGCCAGTTGCTAGTTTATGAACCTGTTTTCAATTGCACATAAGTGCGCACGGTAAAATATTCACACGCAATAAATAAATTGATTAATTTGATTAAAAATGCTGAGTGTTATTGCTCCGTTCTCATGTTTGAAGTTGGAACCAAACTTCTGGGCTTTATTATGTTGGCTTAGAAGTACGTGTCCCAGTGCCAGTGACTTTGGCTGTATTATCCATCCCGCTGGGATTGCTGAACCCCAGGGGGTGGGAGGCTAAATCTGTCTCAGCGTGGGGGCGAGGTGTGGGGGGGGGGGCAGTGGGAGGTGGTCTGGGGTTGGGGGATGGATGGGGGGTGATCTAGAAACAACCGATGCGTTTGAACGCCAGGCAAATAATTTACTGCCTCCCGTCTCTCCTGCCAGAGAAGTGGACATTTCCGCACTCAACCGTTTGGTTATAAAAGCCAGCAAGGAGACAGCGTTCTTCACGCAGCAGACACCGCGCGACCGTGATTCGAAGCGCCCTCTTCTGCAGACCACCACCGCTTTTCACCGTGAGCTAAGTCCGTGCTTCCCGAGGATTTGGAATCAAGATGAGAGCGCTACTTTTCATCGGCTTACTTGTCTGCTGCCTGGCAGCATTTGACCTTTCCCAAGGTACCCATACAGACTCGAGCATTTCAGAATGTATTCATGTGAAAATGTTACGAAGTCTTCTGTTCGGAACGGTGGTGCAGAAGTTTAGCGCAATGCACTGTGAACCTGGCTACCCGAGTTCGATTTCTGGCCACGGTCAGCATCAAGGGCATATGACATATGATACATGTGAGACATGTGTTACATGGGACACGTGATACATGTATAGCATAATGGAGGCATTCATCCAGAGGTGAATTGATCAAAGTATTTGAATAATTAAAAATGTGATCCAAACACTTTCCCGTTAGAAACCGGATTGTTGTAAAATTTGAATGCAATCATTTATCTCTGTTCCTCACAGGACTCACTGATTTTGCGATGTTTGTATTTAGTAAATAATTACATGGATTATTTGTCATATTTAAAAACAAACATTCGTAATATGTACATTTGATGTGTGCACTTTATTGTTTTTTTACAATGCCTATATTTCATTGCCATATTTTCTTTGTATGCATGTTGAACGTCTTTCGCATCGTACGTAGCTATCCGTGATAATCGCATGTGTATGGCATGGACCCTGGTGCAAGACATGCCATGGGGGCCCTTTGTCCAACCGTCTTAGTAAGATGCCTGGGCCCCTCAAGTCCGTGGGGCCCGCGCAGTTGCACCGCCTGCACACTCGACATCGACGCCACTGCTCTGCGTGTCTGCCTCTGTAACTCAAGTCCCCTTTGAGAAATAGTCTCTGTCTCATTGAGTTCTCAACTGCTTAACTAATACAGCAAATGATGACGATAATGCTCGTGCTGATTTGCTGAGTCTAGCGGCACTGGTTTGTGTATTCCTGGCTTTGTGGTGTTGTTGGTGAAGGTTCGACTGCCGCCCTTGGTGTGGTGTGGATTTAATCGGTACGCAGGGTGATCCGATTACAACCACCAAACCAGAATAAGTGGGACAGATTCTACGCTCTTAGATTACGATTGACGACTGTTAAGCAGGGCCTCGTGTTGTCGCAACCACACTCCGTTCTCACAGTTATTGCATCTGCAATCGAACCCGGGGCTCAGCATTTTCGATACCGTTTGTAAATCGTGTCTTTTCTTCCCGTTGCTGTGGTGCACGCTCATGTGTATTATCCTTGGTATAGGCGCGGTGTGTGTGTGTGTTTGTGTGGGGAGCGGTAGCGTAGCTGTTGGCGCGCTGCGCTATGAACCCAGAGACCCGAGTTCGATTCACGCTCACGGCCAGAAACACCAGTGACAATGATTTGAACCGGTCCTGGACCTCCCCTAGGCTGATTCAGCCTAAAATGAGTACCTGGTGCAGTGTGTACACATCGCCACGGAAGGGATAAAGCCGGTCTGGCGTGGTGCTGACCACTCCACCCTCACGTGTGTCGTGCCCGCTTTCATAGGTGCTCGCTAACAGCAGCACTTGCCCCAACAGTCTGTTGAGGCTGTGCGGGGAATCTTTGTCTTTTGTCACAGTGAATCTACACCCATGGTACCACCTTCATTCTCTGGTCCTCTGTGAAATATGGGGCCATCGCTTTCACAAGATTCAATCGTATTTTGAAAATAAAGTGAGTGGGGCATTAGCAATCAGTTGTGCATGTATAGATGGAGCTCCTGGTACTGTACTTACCCAAGTAACCCCCCCCCCCCACACCGCAAGAGACAATCGTATCAGTGAGATCCCGCACGAGTATAGATTAAGGTTCATAGTTGACCGACCCATCGAGATTTAGCCCGGTTTTAATTTGAGCTCAGACAAGAGACTCTCAGTGCGAAGTGGGGGTCAAGATTTCAGACTCTCAGCTCACAGCGGCGAAGACATCCTACCTCTCTGTCTCTAAGTGGAAGAGTTAAGTTTAAAATCATTTGAGAGCCCTCTGAGACAAATGGATATTTCTCAGGAGGCTGCTGTGCTGCCGTTAGCTGTGCATCTTGCACGTGAGTGAGTCGCAGCTGTGGTGGTGGTGTTGGAGGAGGAAGAGTGGAAAAATGATGAATATTATGAACAGCAGGATAAATATATTGATGATAAAGAGGAGGAATTGTTGATGATGTTGGATAATGACGACGACAACGGTGATGAACGCGACGTTGAAGAGGGAGTACTCGGTCCAAGTCAGCAGACTCTCGTTCTGTTTAGAGACATTGTTTTAGCTGTGGGGTCAGACAGGTCAGTCCGTGTGCAGCATCACGATCTTTCCACGAAGCTGATGGTCCACCCGAAGCCGCATCCACTGCACAAACCGTGGCAGATGCAGATACCTGATGCACAAATGGAAAATAAAAAAATATCCAGCAGTGTGCGACTGTGGTCATCCAAAACAGACGTTACAACGTGTAACCACGCAATGCCCCGATCCACAAATACGGAGGAGACATCGTCAGAGCGATAGTACACTCCGCTACTGCCCCTAACCCGGTCGTCTGACTTGACCACCTGAATGTGAAATTGTAGTTGTCGCTCTGCATCAACATCATCAGCTGTACGAGAGAAGATCACGATCCATGGGTAAATATCAGAGATGGCGCTCTCAGACAGGGATGTGTGGTGGCATCTGGATGATGTCGGTGGTCCGCAATCGTTGCGTTTACAAACAAAACCCTGACCCTAAATCTACACTGAACTCTTTTTTCTTTTCTTTCTGGACAAAAATAGATAACAATACAGAACCAACTTGAAAGAATGTAAAAGCTTAATCGGCCATGGTTGATCCATTGCTGGATGAAGGCCTCTTATGGCCGTCAGGTTCTGTGACTTTACGATCAATCTCGCTCCTGCACGTGAGCGGACTAATTCGCTCCATCTCGTCCATGGTAGACATTTCCCTCCGATTAGCATGGTTCGCTACATAAGATGGCGAGATGTTAGCTACTACTCCTGGTATACAGGAGGTCGTGGGTTAGATCACAACCCTGACACAATTATAGTTGGAGTTTGTGTGTTTCTCTGCCCGCGGTCGCGTGGATTTTTCTCCGTGTCCTCCGCTTTTAGAATGATGTGTTTAGAGCATTTGGCTCCTTTAAATTTCCACACGATAAGCCACTTCGTTGAGCTAACATTTGTGGCCAGGTCGCTTCTGAAAAGAGCTATATAGCTCCGTGGGCCTGACCTGGTAAAATAAAAAAAAGTTTGCAGTTTCACATTCCCTGCGTGTCTTCTCGCCACGCTCTGTCACTCGGCCGATCGTCTCGGCCACTCAGTCATCGTCCCGTCCAGCGACGCGTCCTGCCCAGGCCCGCTTACCTTTCTTCACGGTCACAATGATGTGTGTCCGACTTGCGTACATTCTGTAGTCCACGTGTCCCTCATTCTTAGCTTGGAATGAGGACACTCGACCATTATGAGCCCAGGGAGGAATGTTTGTGGATCGTAGGAATAGCGATCGTGAGATTCTACCCACGATCCTGTCTCGTTCTTCTGACCGTTTCTCCTCCCTGCATGCACCACTCTCTCTCGCTCTCTCCTGCAGGAATCACCATCGCCATGCAGTCGCGCTGCCCGTGTCGCCACTCGCGCAGCGTGCAGCCCAGCACCATCAAGAAGCTTGACATCTTCAAGCAGGTCAACTGCCCCATCCAAGTCATGTAAGCGACGACGATCCTCTTCTACGCATGCGCACGATGGCAGCAGCTACACGTTGCTAAACGCCAGTGTCGAGGTCTGGTGGTCACGAACGAGAGGGCTTCAGGAGTGATCTCGTGTAGTTTTTCTGTGGCTTCGCCATCGCAGGAGCGCGGACTGCAGTCGGTTCTGCTGCGTGGTCCATCGTCCGGGTTGCAGCCCCAGAGCCGCACGGTCTGTGCCTCGTGCCTTCACGTTTCCACTCGTGAAGTGACGACTCGGGTCGGTTTGGTGCAAACGAGGCGACACGTCACAGTTGACGGGCAACTCTGGGTTCTCCGGGGCAATGTTGTGAGAGAGAGAGAGACAAACCCACAATCACCGTGCTTAAGTGGTAACTGATTCATCTTCTTGGTTCTTTCGGTAAAGTCACGTAGAAGGGAAATAATAAAATAATAAAAATAAAACCTAATAAAATAATTCTCACGACGTTTCGGCCACAACACAAGCACCCGTCCTCAGGTGACTTTACCGAAAGAACCAAGAAGATGAATCCCTGCAGTCACGAAAGCTTTAAATCGAAATGGTAACTGATTGTCACGCGAGCGTGGTAGGTTTTATCACATATTTACGCGATCTAATGCAAAAAAAATACGTTACCATGAATATTGGTCGCGAAATCATACGTGTTCAATACCGGAAAACTTTAATTTGAGTATATTGTATTGTCTCCCAACTCCGAATGGAAATCCAATGTGTGCTCGTGTGTAGAGTTAACGGTGTTCAACTCTTGACATTCCCAATAATCCTCCGTGTAGTCACGCACGGACGTGCGTGGATTCCGTGCGGAGCCTTTGGAGGTATTTCATTAACAGCTGATGGGCAGCTATGAGAGCAAAACCATTGACATATTAAATTTCGATTTAAAGCTTTCGTGACTGCAGGGATTCAGACGCTGTCTTTCCGACAGACCTGTTTTTCACCTGAGGACGGCTGTGTGCGTTGTGGCCGAAACGTCGTGAGAATTGTATTTTATTATGTTAATTTTTATTATTTTATTATTTACCTTCTACGTGACTTTACCGAAAGAACCAAGAACATTGACACTTTTGCAAGTAATCGTGTTTTTTTCTCTGGTTCGTGTCTGAATTGATCCTTTGATCCTTTGATCAATTCAGCCAATTTCTGCATTGCAGGTTCATCATGGTTCCATTCGCATTGTATTCTGTTTATGAGCCATCGTGCCACTCCATTACAGACAGACGGGCACCGCTAATGCATAAACACTTGCAACCTTATATACACGTGACTCCTTTGCCAGTATCAAGATATTAAGATGTAACTACTCTTAGGTTTTTTCGGTAAAGTCACGTAGGTGAAAAAAATAAATAAAAATTAATAAAAGTAATAATATTTTTTTTTATTATAATTATAAAATAATTACTTAATTTTATTTCTATTATTCCTTTTATTAATTTAATTATATTGTTTTACCTACGTGACTTTACCGAAAAAACCTAAGAGTATGAATCCTTGCAGTCACGAAAGCTTCAAATCTAGAATTAAGATGTAACTATTTAACCAGAACAATTAATTAGTTGGTGTTTGCATTGCCCTTGTACTGTTTGCCTTTTGGAAGCCTTTGATCTCGCACTGGTGGGGGTGAGACAAAGCAATGAAACAGGCTGTCTCTGGTGCAGGCTAATCAGTTTCAAGGACAATGCTTACACGGCCAAAGCATATTTGTTTGCCTGTTTTACCACAAATCTGTGTGGTTAATGCAGACTTGATGCCTTGTAATACTGTAGGTGTCTATTTGGTGTTTATACACCGTAACACCTCCTGTATTCACGGCAGAAACGGTAAAAATGCTTTTTTTTAATTATTCACTTTCAACCTCAGGAGGAAAGTGCCCCCCCCCTTTCTCCCCCTAAATAAATAAACACTTCCTTAAAGCTGTAGAGCAGACAGACAGGATAAATATCTCACGAACAAATGTGTAACTCCCGGTGGAGTTTCACGCTGACCCTTGCCACAAAAGGAACGGTCGGGTCGCTTGCTCTCGAGGTCACAGGTCACGGGGTCACGCCGAGCCGCCCGTGAGTTCGTGGCAGGGCAGCGCAGCTCAAGGCCCTCCCGCCTCCTCTCTCTGTCCCCGTCGGCCGCTTGGCTGCTTCCACGTCATCCTGTGCCAGTGAAACTCCTGCCCAAGCACACACCGGTCACTCATTGCAGATTTACTGCATTTTCCATAAATATACTAAATTTCTCTGTTGATATGCAAATTCCTTTGTCAAGGCGCTCTTCTTTCCCTAACCCAGCTTAAATATACGCTGCCAAGCTTGGTGGTGCTCATTTAGACGCTGTCTTTCCTGACAGACCTGTTCTTCACCTGAGGACGGCTGCTTGTGTTGTGGCCGAAACGTCGTGAGAATTGTATTTTATTATGTTTTAATCTTAATTTAAGTTATTATTTTATCTTTATACGTGACTTTACCGAAAGAACCAAGAAGATGAATCCCTGCAGTCACGAAAGCTTTAAATCGATAAAATATTTACTGCTGTTAATGTGTAAATGACACGAAACTAAAGCGTCCGATCGTGACAGACCCCCGGACATTCAGAATCAAATCTGTATTCATACTGGAGGAATCCGATGAGTTATAAAGCTCATTTGTCACAGACGTCCACTGCTTGGATGTTCGACCACCGTGCATACAGGGTGTCACAGAGGCTGTTGCGGGGCCACGTGGCAGGCCTGTGCAGAACGACGCACTGTTGTTGTGCGTTACGTCTATGCTCCCCCGTCCATGCCGCACGCGTTCACCAACGCGCACCGACCATCCGTTGTCCAGACGGCGCCTCGCATGCAGTGCACGTCGAGGGCGCCAGGCGGTGAAGGATGGTCCAAGTTGCCCCGCCGACCCTCACCCGGCAGTGCGTTGACAACACGCTGCACGTGCGCTACGTGTGACGACGTCGCGTTCACTCACTCCCTGCTGTCTCCTTGTTTTGTTCCCCCCCGCCCCCCCACCAACTTCACCCTCCTGCTCTCCTCCCCCCGACCGCCCGACCGCCTGCAGCGCCGTGCTGAAGAAGACGGGGGAGCGCGTGTGCGTCAACCCCAAGATGCGCTGGCTGCGGCAAGTCACTCAACAGATGCGACGCTAGGGGCGGGCAGAGGCGGGATCTCGCTCCTGAGTCTGAACCCGTCGGAGTACATCCCAACCCCCCGCCCACCCGTCCTCCCCCACCTCTCTGAGCTTTCAAAACCTCCCGGATTGCTTCTCCCCAACCACTTGCGTCCGCTTACCCTCGGGCTTGCTCTCTCGTACGCGGTGGCGCGGCTACGGAGTGTGCAGGTGGAGCAACTGCACCGGGTGGGGCCCAGGCACCGGGTTACAAAGTGGGGGCTGTGTGTGGGGGGGGGGGTACTTTATACGGGGCCCCCATTTCATCCCCCTGACCGGGGCCCATGCCCACCGCGCTATTACACAACCGCCCTTGCAGCCACTAAACCGGGGTCCTCTTGCACCTCCCGTTCTTCCGTGCTCGCCAGACATTCTCCGCCTCGTGCCTGTGAACCGGCGGGGGCAGAGGCAAGGGCTGGAGGATCGCACAGATTCGTGAAACCCCCACACCCATTGGGCTGTCAGTTGGTCAGGAGGTAGCAGTACAACGAGCGGGTTTGTGAATCCACTTCCTGTTGCAGAGCGGTGAGTGTTAACCCTCTCATATGTAAGGTGGGCTTTTCTCACAGAACTCCAGATCCCTCCCACACAAAGCCAAAACAGCTGCCCATCGAAATGGCCAACCATCCCAGTGTAGGACCCTCTTAAAAACGGAGCCTTGAAACTCGGTGACACTTTCGTTGATAGGTAAATAAATAGCATTGTTATTATCATCATCATCATTGTATTTGTAATGATCTCTCTCTCTCTCGATGCTAAGAGCAATCTTTCCCTCTCCACCGCACGGCAAGCAAAGACAGATATCCCCCAATAGCCGTGCAGGCTGTGTTCTTTGCCACAATAGCTCAAACGCACAATCGCTTCTCCCGTAACACCCACGTGTGTAATGGCGAACGTCTTTCGAAACGTCCGTAGCCAACCGCACAAATCGAAGGCGCTCAGAAGCTGCCTGAACGACGTCCCGTCCCCCCCCCATCCTTCAGCTCGCCTCTGCGCGCCGTTGAAAGGCTCCGCATAGCACGTGGCGGCCCGTACCGCTGCAGGGGTGGCCTTTGATGGCGTTTGCCTCGTTCGATCACCCCCCCCCCCACACACGATTCCCCGATTCTACGGGCGCTGCGTGGTTGCTGCCGCGTGATTTCTGTCACGAGAGGCGAGCTCTGTGTCTGACATGAGCCAATGGAATGAAATTCTGACAGATTTCTCGAACGTCTTCGCGGATTCCCCGTGGCTTCACTCGCCCGCGTGGCACACTCGGTGCCGCACTCGTGCACATTTCTCCCAACTCATTCACGTCTTGCGTGCTTATTTTTTAGTTGCTAATTCCTTCCCCTTGTCAGGGAGTATCTGTTGGGGACTCTCACGGGGAGCGGTGCATATCACCCCGTGCGTGTCAAGAGAACGTCCCGTTCAAGGAGATAACGCAGAACTCCTCCTGCGATCCGTGCAAGTGGCCTTTCTTCTCCACCCCCGGGGTGATTCGCCTTGCCGCACTCACCACTGCAGTGGAATGTTTGTTTCTTGGCAGTTAGACCCCGTCTTTGTGTTAATTGCTAGAGGTGGAATTTAGCTGCAGTAAGTGGACAAAACACACGGATAAAATATAATAGGGCTTTTTTGTTTGTGCGGTTATTAGGAACCGCGATGATCCTTGCTAACGTGGTTTAAACACGGGCAGCCGAAATCTGCATTCGAACCCAGGGTGTCAACAGTGCCGACTCAGCGCTTCGTGCTCTGAGCCGGAACTGCTGAGAACCTGGGTTCGACATCCGACCACCTCGACGCTTTCTATTTGTGTCGCTCTCCTGCACGGTGTTCAGCGCAAATTAGCATCACTTGCAGCGAGCTTAGCCGTGTATCACCGAGGAGTAAAGCCGTACAGCTTCATCATCCAAGTTCGCATCTTGCCGAACGTTCTCGTGACGTCCGTGCGAAGGTTTTCGCCGCTGTGCCGTACGGCTGCCCGATCGCGCTGTGCCACGTGCTGTTCGGTCGGCACCGCGTCCTGAAAAAGGCTCCCGGTGCGTGCAGCGTTGCGTCGGCCAACACGCGGGCGCAACTCAGCACGAACGCGAAACCGATGTTCGGTGCGGTTCATGCGGTTCATCGAGATCAGGACGTGGCTCCGTTGTCGTCGGTTCCCGTCGGTTGGCTTTGACAGATGGACACCGCGTCCGCTCTGCAGTGCCTCAACTTCCCCATCCATCCTCGTTGTTTTCATTGGGGATGAAAGTAAAAGATGCATCTTGGCGTGTGGCAGGGGGCAGGGCATTGGGGTGGGGGGCGTGTGGTGGGGTGGCGGCGGGGGGGGATCCAGAGAGGGGTGGGTGGGTGGGGTGGGCGGATGCAGAACGTGGACTTCTTGTCAGAAAAAAAACATGAAGATTTACGAAGGCGGCGAAATGAAGAGGCGGACGATGTTTGTGTTTGCAACTGCCGCGGGGCGCGACCTGCACACGCCGGCGGTGGCCGAGCGGAGCTGCTGGCGATCGTCACGTCCAGCGAGGCTGCACGGAGCTCCCTCTCGTAACGATTCCAACTCCCAGCACGGCAGCGGAAATGTTGGGGAAATCTTCTTCTTGGTTCTTTCGGTAAAGTCACGTATAAGATCAGGTCTATCGAGAAGGCAGAGTCATTCAGACTCTGTCTTCTCGATAGATCTGTTCTTCACCTGAGGACGGCTGCTTGCGTTGTGGCCGAAACGTCGTGAGAATTATTTTATTATGTTTTATTTGTATTATTTTATTATTTCCATTCAACGTGACTTTACCGAAAGAACCAAGAAGATGAATCCCTGCAGTCACGAAAGCTTTAAATCGAAATGTTGGGGAAAGTTTCTTACCGATACTGTCCATCCAGCAGCAATTAATGGCCAAATCATAGTTAATAATAATATTTTTTATATGTCGTTTCATTTATGCTAATTGCATTTCACAACGCTGGACTTTCATTTGAGATATATATGGGCCAATTGTATATTCGTTAGTCCACGATGATAGGCATATCATCACGTGTGGCGGGGTAAAGTTGTGGGGTGCTCCCGACCTCGGCCGAGACGTCTCGCCGGCGTTCGGGGAGTATAGGCCACACAATACCCATCCAGCATTGGCGAGCAATTCCAGGGCTGCAACCTTTGACCTTTACAACATCAGCGCAGCCCAACGGGAAAATGGATTATGAAGGATACGTCTAAGTAAAAATAAAGGCTGATGCACTTTTCCGGTCATTATAAAAGTCACAATAACGTTGTTATTTTCGGTTGCGTATTAGGCATATGCCATACATCACGATGGGGGTAATCAATAAGGTCAAACGAAGATGAAGCAGCAGCAGCATTCGTGTGTATTTAGCTTTTCTAACTTCTCCGCCACTGTCAAGAAATGAAATCACGTAAATCCTTCAGTCAATTTACTGATAAATTAAGCCCCCCCTCCCCTACCATGCTGTGTTGGTTATGAAGATTTTTTGGCCAGACATCTCCACTCTGGCCAGTCCGGGTTGGTGAAGGAGCGGTTCACTCACGACTGAGCTTAGCCACGGCCCGGAGTTGAACTCTGCATGCCGGTTTTAGATCGCAGTACGCTAACCATTGCACCAGCGCTTCACATGTACGTGTAGTATTCGTATGTGTGTTGAACTTCTTTCGCACCGTATGTAGCCAACCTTGCTAATCGGTGGCGTGGCGGAGAGACAACAAACTAAACAACAAAGTGACTTTACCGAAAAAAACAAAGAGTATGAATCCCTGCAGTCACGAAAGCTTCAAATCTAGAAATAAACACAACAAGCAGTTCTAAAGAAATTCGTTTTCAATGTAGATGGTTTAAAAGTGCATTGCTCCAGTGGCTTCCGAATATCGGAAGGAAAGACAAAAAACATTCTCGGTTCCCATACCGGCCACGACGCAGTCATCGGCGAAAATAAAATGTCAGCAGAAATGGCCAGATATATTTTAAGACATTGTTGCCTTCGGGCAAAATGTACAAGCCACAACGTCTGGCGATCTGCTCCGTGCCGTGTGAACGTATCTATAGTTGAATGTACTTGCAGCTGACCAATATCATTGGTAAATATGATTCCACTGAACTGGTGATGCTGGTGCTGCTGCTGCTCATGGTGTGATTATAAAAAAATACTAGCTTTTGCAATGGAACAAATACTGAGTAAATATGGAATGCTGAGTCAACGCTGGGCCGAATGGTTCCAATCACATGCCAACGTCGACCCAACGTTGGAATGTTTGCTGGATAATGTATTTCGCAATGTGCTTATATCAAATCACTCTTTTAACACGTTTCTCAAATATATATTTTTGTCACCTATATATATTGGAAAATATATATTTCATATTTTAAAATGAAAATTAAAATACTCTACGATACACACTAAGCTTCGATTCACTGACACTTTGTCAACAGTGTACGGACAAAATAAAGTACAGTTAACCAAAGCAACTTGAACACATCATTACATTGACACATTTCAATTGTTCTTGGAATTAAATTTGCGAGCTCGTTTAGAGAAATGTGGGTTTGTGTGTCGATATATACTCAAAGAAGTCGTCTACAATACTGGTGTACTATGCTACGACACATTACCATTGCGTCGCTATGCAAAAACAATCTCATGAAATTAGCTGAGAAAGGCGCCACTTGAACCGTAATGAAAATCCACACGTGTCAAATTTGAAATTATTCTTCGCTGAAGAAATCGACCGCGATTTGAAGGCATTCTCACGTACCATTAAAGAGAGCGTCGTCAACTGCAGATCGGCATCAAACCTTCTCCTCCACTTTCGTGGGGTACCGCAGAGATACATCCACTGAATTTTCGAAAGGCAACGAAATGTATCAATCCACGGCCGCTTACCAGCATTGCCTGTGAATCCCTCTGGTGGAGCGTCCTTCATTGCCAGGGCCCGTGGGCGACTGAAGGCCACTGGTGGCCTTTCGTGCGGCCCCTGACGTGCGGCCCCCCGACAAATACACAACACGTGACAACGCCACCCCCCCCTCCTCCCAATATCACCGTGCTGCTGTCAAACCCCCCAATGGGTTCACACCGGCGATGTCTTATTGGCCAAAGTGGCCCCCGTCTGCAAATGTGTAAAGAACACTGACCTGGTGTCACCACTCAATGGCCTCGATGGGCGATCAGAAGGGTGACCTTGCGATCCACGGTTTGGTTTGCTCCGCAGTCGCAGGTGAAACTGTCCCTTTATCCTCCTGGCTGAGCTACGTTCATATGAGCAAGGCTGAGACAGTTATTTTTTAAATTACAAAAAACGCACACTTTTTCCGATGTTGACAAAGCGTTGATTTTGCGATGTAAACACTTTCACAAGTTCCGCATGTACGTCCGGTTGCAAGCCTTTTATTTCATTGAATTCGGAGCTGAGCAGTCGATGGGCTGGAGCAGAAATCGGTACCTCCTAAGGTCGCAAGCACATCGTTAGTCACGCCGATTCATGACTACGGCCGATACAGAGTGAATTACTCGATAACCCCATGTACTCGTTTCAAATAGTTATCGCACAATTCACCGTGATTGGCCACAGCAAAAAAATTAGGAACCACTGCTGTCATGACACCTCACCCAGATGGTACCGACAAAGTGAAGCATATAGTCTGGGGCTCATGGCCCGAAGCTGTTTTTACACTGTTACTAAAAAAGAAAAACTCTGTCAGATCCCCTGTGCATATTCGGATGTAGATTACCGCATCCATCACAGTCATAATTGTAATTGTAGACACAGTTATACTTCTAAACACGTCACTGTTTTGTTATTATCTGAGCCATATGAATATATTCCGAATGAATGTATTGGTAAGTTATATTAAGGTCATTATCTTTGAAATGCAGTATACATGTAAACACGGTATCATTTCTGTATGAAAAATAATAAAGGTCATTTTTAATGTTTGCGTTAGACGTCCCCATTGATGATGAAAAGCACCTGGGTGCTCGATGGGTTTAGGGTTGTTACCGTGTCGTGTTGTTCGGCGTGATGTCCGACGTTTCGTTCCACGTGCTGGGAGCTTCTCCAGGAACGGCATTAGTTCCGTTCCTGAATAAGATCCCAGCACGTGCAGCAAAACGTCGGACATCGTTCCGAAAAACAACAACATGCGGTAACAACCCGAAAACCCATCATAGAGCTACACAGCGCAACCGCGAAAATGTGCACCGTGTAATCTGGGTGCTGTAATTCTTGCATGTAGTTAATTAATCTGGGTGCGGTGGGCCACACGTGTGATCCAGCATGTTGAAGACAAGGGTTGGTGGCTCACACTGATATGTGTTCATGAAGATGGCAGCACAGAAATTGCGTCCGTGCACCTACCCTTCCAGAGTTATCTCCTCGTCTGTGTGGTGAGGTTTGTCCAAGCCCTCTGCTTGCCTACCACAAGAAGCGAGACACTCCGCAAAATGAAATTGGCCAATCATCACAACGCAGGAGCCTCCTGAATAACAGTGCAGAGACTCACTGAGACTCTCCTGGATAAATACAACGGCAATTGTATTATTTGTCGTCATCATTATTGTTGCAATATCACTGTAAAGTTGAATGAAATTGCAAAGGGAAGTTCCACGAGCCATGTTCACTGGATGGTATCGGCACTGGACCGTACACAATCGTTAGACAAGAACTGCATTCAAACTTAAAGTAATTTTTGTTGGTTAGATCGCGTAAATATAAATGCGTCGTTAAACCCACCTCCACCCGACATCAGCCAACCAGTAAGGTTTTTAACGTAAACAAAATATGCCAATTCGTTACAGGTATAGCACACCAGTGTGGTGGAGAGTAAACTCACTACAACATTTACAATTCGAGTACTAGGAGTTTACTTTCCAACACTCCGGTGTTGGACTCATTAATTGGCACGTTTGGTTAACGTGACAAACCTTACTAATTGGCTGTGGCAGGTGGAGGCAGGTTTAACGACACATTTATATGTATCCGCTCTAACCCAAAACAACTTTAGAATGAATAATATTGGTCGCGAAAGCCTACCCGTTAAACTGCATTCATTGCAACATTTAGCTTTTCGTCGGCGTTAATGTCGGGGTTACCACGTGTCTGGGTTTGGCCCAGACAACCTGGGAAATTGACGCCTGTGATCGGGTCATAGTAACTGATTCGTGCCGAGATGTGGTGGCATTTTGCTGAACTTTATCACCATTTTCTGCACAGTTTCGACAGATCTAGGCTTATTGAGACGTATATGTGGGTTTGGTCTACGGCGGAAAATTTGGCAAACCCAAGGTTTGCGTTTCATGGCAAGGATGAGGATTAAAGGGGCGAGTCTGGGTTAGAGTTAGGACTGGGACTTGGGGTAGGACAGGGGGTTAGGCACTGGTGTAGTTTGAATGTAATGGACCCTGGTACAATGAATTAATTGGGGCCCAATTCAGACCTGTGGTATTCGGTGCATTTGTACGGCCTGTCCACTTGATAACTACGCCACTGGACCTAGGGTTCTGGGTAGGGTGACAGTTATTGTTAGGGGTAAGGATATCATGGTGTTAGAGTTGGGGGAGGGTGAGGTTGAAGCTTACGCTTGTGATTATTGGTTGGGTGGGGTTGAAAGTTAGGTCTGGGGTTGTGTGAAACTAAAGGTTGTGATTAGGGTTCTGTAAGGAAAAGGGTTAGTATTAGGCGTATTATTGGTGGTAGTGTGGTGTTGAAGGGTAGAGTTAGGATTAGGTGAGGTTAAAGGTTAGGGTTTGAGTTATAATTAGTGGTAAAGTGAGATTTCCATTCAGGTTATTATAATGTAGAGTTTTAATCAGTGGCAGGGTTGAGTCAACAGTGAGGGTTAGGGTGATGTATGTACTGTATGTTAAACTTCTTTCGCACCGTAGGTAGCAAACCACTCTAATCGTAGGTGTGATGTGGTAGGTTCGGGTTCGTGTCGGTTGCACCTCCTAGGAGCTGCGCATGTGGTGAGTGTCGTTGCTCGAGCCGCCGCAAGCCGGAGCGAGTTTAAACATTCTTACACCAACAACGCGCGCAATACACACAACCCATTCGTCTAGACAGTGAGTTAAGTGACAGCACGAAAGGTGATGTGTATAACAAACAAAATAAATTATCGCCTTCTCGCCCACGACACAATTCAGGACATTTACTGCGTGTGAGCTTTTTGGGCTGAGTGGTCAAATTTGCTGATCTCGTCCAAGAGCATAAAGCACGCACACTCCGATCATCCTCGCAGCGGATTTTGGCTCGCCATCTAAGATGACCACTGCATCGGGAGCTTTCAGAAGAGCTTCCTGTGGCCGTCTGGAACGCTCTTCCTTCTAATATATTCGGAAGCCACTGGAGCTATGCACTTTTAAATCACCTCGATTGAAAACTAATTTCTTTAGAACTGCTTTTGTGTTTAATTTGTTGTCCTTCCCTCCGCAACTCCGATTAGCACGGTTGGTTACGTACGGTGCGAAAGAAGGTCAACATACATACAACAGGCGATTTCTTTTCATGTTTCGTTTCGTGACGGAAAGTCAATCCTGTATTTCAGCTCGAAATTGTATTGCCTTTTTTGGGAGAGCGGTGGCGCGGTGGTTAGCGACGTGCGTTATGAATATAGCGACCGGAGTACGATTCCAACCCACATCTAATGTCAGTGGTGAGGGATATGTGAACCAGTCCTACGCCAATCCACAGTGACCAGCGTGGTGAAGTATGGTTCAACAACTCCCCATAACCAAACTACATGGAAAGGCCTTCATGTGGCAGTGGATTTGACAAATGGCTGCGCATTATTCAATACTTTAATCCCTCTGAAGCTACACCCTGGGTTTTTCCAGGTCTTGTAGGGCTGGATATTTACTTTGGCACTTTCTGGGTTTATGAAAATGTCATAAATCACAAGAAAACAATACAGGAATTTGAAACTATTTTGTTGAGAAAGAAGATCAACATACACACGTACCACGCCCGGACTCATTTGCATCCCTCGTGGCAAAGTTTACACACCGCACCAGGTACTCATTTGACACTGAGTCGACCGAGGGGAGGGCCCACGACCGATTTAGATAATCGCTATGACTTGTGTTGGCCGTGAGCGGTTAATCGGAACTCGGGTCGCCAGATTCGCAGCACAGCATGCTAACCACTGCGCCACCGCTCTACACGCAAAATAACACACACGCTCACAAGACACACACAGACATCAATAAAGCACGGTCTTTGCGTTTCACTACAAATGCTCACAGCGCCACCAAGCCAGCTTTCTGCTCAAGTGGTCTGACTATAGCTTGCATACACACAGCCCTTTTGTCAATCCACTTGTGGAAGATATTTGTCTAAACTTCACCACGCTGATCTGTACAGGTTGGCGAAGGCGGGCAGCATAGACAGGAAGAGGGTCCTCTCGATTTTGAAATGAAATGAAAAATCTAAAAGTCGGGCCAAGATACGACAATTTGGACGTCACTGTGGCAATGGTCTCGCAGTGGCACGTGACATCAGCAGCAGCGTTGAGACATTGATGTGGATTTCATACTCATTTGTATACGAGCCAGAAATCCTAAAAACACTTGACTTTGTCCTTATAAATTCCAATGAATGTTGACATCTGAAATGCATCCCTACCCCGCCATTGTACTGGCTGGGTTCAGGCCTCTTCTTGCAAGAGCCAGAATTGAAAAAAATGTCTCCTCGTTGGCAGTTTGGCGTCGGTGAAATATTCCTCAACAACAACTCAACAACAACTAAGGACCGATTCGACGGAGACACCGCAGCCCGTACCCAAACCCCTCCATCCCACGCTGCTCCCAAGTCGACGGAATTTAGTTTTCTTTCATCATTTTGCAACAAAAAAAACGAACAAAAAAGTCAACACATTCATCAATAATTAGTCGATAGTTTGACCAATTGCCTTCTCTGCAGCTTGGAGAGAAGCCAGACTGAGACTGGTTGAATAATCGTTAGAGACCGCACTATATACACAATAGGGCTTGTTCTGAAATCTGCATCGCTTAGATGAAACAGCCATCGTGCAATGCAGTATACTCTTAATACATTTAAATAGTATTTTACTCCATGGCGCTCGAAAGGCCACATTGAGAGACAGTTGGAAATACTACGCCTGCAGTTTCGACATCAACGCAGAGGGAAGGCAGTTTCCACAAGGGCCCCCCTTGAAAGCCAGCAACCACCATCATCTCACCTCCTCCTCCACCTCATCTTTGCCGGGTTCACTAGGAGTCAAGCCTGGCAAAAAAGCAGCTGCTGATGTCCTCTGCGTGCGAATAAACACCGCTCCTGCCATCCGGGTTATGGCACCAGGCCCCGTGTTTGCCTGGCACACCCGGGGGGGTCAGGGCTCACAATCCTCGCTTCTGTCGCTCGCGTGGACCGGATGGGGCCAAATTTGTCCACCGAGTCTCATGCGAAGAGGACAATGCCACTGGCATGCCATCGCCACAGCCTGTGCTGAACTCTTTGCTGAAGAGATTAACAATTGTGTTTTCAGGCTCCGGTGATAAGCCACGCCGTGTTGTTTTTTGTTGTTGTAATGCGTTTCAACTCGGGTTGAATGGCAAGGAGCCGCGTCACCTCTGTCCCTCCGCGTCTTTTTTTTTGGTCTGTCCTGAACATAGGGGTCACGGCAATTCTCGTGAAGATTAGCCGATATAAATAACGTGCGTAGTTTTAGTGACTCCACCCTATTGAAAATCAGGCAACGTGACCAAAGGGTTGCTCGAAAGACGGCGATGAAAGGAAAAGTGCTGAGGTGATGACGTCACACCACATTCCCGTGCTCGACTTCCAATGTGACGTCATCGCGACGTCACACATCTCGCCCCTTGTGACGCCATCTTATTTTGTGAAGGCGAGTGAGTGGTGGTGTGGTGCGTTATGTATGTTTGTTGAACTTCTTTCGCACTGTACGTAGCCACCTCTCCCCTGCACCCCTCAACAACCCACAATGGTGAAGTATGGTCAAAACAATCCCAGACCCCATTTGGCAAAGGGCTGTGAATTGCATAATACACGTAATAATGCCAACAAACGTCAATTATATTTTCATAATTAACTACTTTTGTGTTGGATCGTGTAGGTATTAATGCCAATGTTCATCGATAAACCCTCCACCAGCCAGCAGAGCCAATAAAATCAAGATGCCACGTCACGTGCAAATGCACCAATTGATTTGTTTTGGAGGAACTCGTAGGATTGTTCAAAAGCAAGCAAGAATTTTGACAATTTTAAACTCGCCGTTTCGCTGGAGATTACATCCGGCATCGTCCGCTGTTCACAGAAGCTGCTGTCGTGTCAACGCCCGGTGACGCTCGATGTGATCTCCAGTGAATCGTCGAGTCAAACGTCGTGAAAAGTGTGCTCGATTTTCAACTTTCATCCTCCTCCTTCGGTTTGCTGAACAACCAAAACACATTCCTGCCTGCGGAGGGAGCTGGTAGGAACGTCGGGTTGCTCGTTCAATGGCCAAGGGTCAACGGCGGCGTGGTGTATTCTGCAAATATGGCCGACTGTGAGGGCGGGCACAAGCCGGCGTGAGAAGGTTAAACGTTGAGTTTTATAAGGGCACCACGGGGTGACCAGCCCCTCCCCACCCAGCCCCACCCCTCCCAAACCCCACCCTCCCCACCCAGCCCCACCCAGCCCACCCCTCACCCTCCCCACCCAGCCCCACCCAGCCCCTCCCTCCCCACTCAGCCCCTCTCCACCCTCCCCTCCCCACCCAGCCCCACCCCACCCTCCCCACCCAGCCCCTCCCCACCCTCCCCTCTCCACCCAGCCCGACCCCTCCCATTTTTGGATGCACGACGGACAGACACAATAACCCCCTGTGGGCTGGTGGAACCAGGTGGTTCCTACCAGTATAAGGAGGGCATGCTGAACATTATAAGTCACTTATCTACTCGAATTCTGTAAGCTTTGTAATTACATTACAAATGGCTCGAGGTATAATGTTTATTCGTGACATATTATAGACACACACACACAACAATAATAATACTACCGTATCGATGGGCACACAAAGACAAGTGAAACGTTACACCCTACTGCTGTTTCCAATTTCGAAACAGAATTTAACGCATCCTCCGGTCCTGCCAAGCAAACAGTCCGGTCTTAGGCATTCAATACGCAGCAACTTTATACTTTCGCAACAACTTCTAAATTACACAAATTGTATTATTGCTAAAATTAATATTGCCAGGTGATTGTGAGAGCATGAGAGGCAAAATCGCACCATGAGCGCAAATAGCCCCGTGTGAATCCAATTGTTGCACCACTGGTAATGCAGCATCACCCAATTGTATATATTATATATTCGAAGACAAGCAATGCTCGCATCATTGCTTTAGACAGCCTTTTACCGCATCATCTCCCCATAGAGGACCGCACAATGAACTGAATCATTCCCCTTTTTCAATCACTTAATCTGCAAACTTTCATCAACGGTCTGCTGCTCACTGGACACTGAGCCCTGAGTGACTTGTCAATTTTTCATCGAATACTCCTCAACTGCTGCTGGAAATTACACTGGTCAACAAAAAAAAACACTTTTTTCTGGCCTGGACTTTTGTAGCTGTTCTAGGCTAACTTCAGGGTGCTGATTCCAAATCTGATCTCAGATTTGCTCTATCACATCATTTTTATGCTATCGGCATACCCCATTTTCATTGATTTTACCAGAAATTAACTCTGTCACTTATGATTGCAAGTTGTTGCGAGTCAGTGACTGCTTTAGTGTTCAAATATGGTGCTGTATTTTTAGGATAGTGTGTTTATAATATCATTTTATGTAGATATCCACATTTATGAAATATTTTTATTCTGCAGTTTTTATAGAAAAAGCAATATTTAATATCTCAAAAACCTGACGTGATAGACAAAAACTGATGCCAGATTTGGAATCAGCACCCCAAAATTACCTTAAAACCGTTGGAATACCTTATGCCAAAAAAGGTGTGTTGACCAGTGTAATTCACTCAGACTGCTGGATCGAAAGTGTCACATCATTATTTTAATATTTTTCGTTGGTAATGCACCGGATCCTCGTATGCCTGTTCATTCGTTAAGTTACTCATCCATGTCTTCATCGCATGAGGCTACCCGCTGCCCCTCGTTACACCTTTGTGCTGGCGAGAGAAGATCTCACAGCGGCGCGAGACAACGCGAAAGAGCCCTGCGCTGAGGATCTGGCTGTCTGCTGCTGTTGCTGCGGCTGCTGGGGCTGCTGCTGCTGCTGCTGCATCTCAGGCTGAGCGTGGTCCGTAGCGTCGTCCGTGGCGCCGGTCCGGGCTCGCGATGCGCACATCGCGGAGAAGCCCACAAAGGTGGGACACACGGGGAGGTAGCGCAGCGCGCGCACGCGGCGCACCGCGGCCATGCCCACGGGGAAGTCGTAGGCGTTGATCTCCGCGCTGGAGCCGCTCGCCGCGTGAGCCCCGGCCTTCCACTGCAGCAGGCCACGCTCCTCCTGCGTGCCTTGGGAGGGGCGGCAGGAGAGATTCATTCATTTCCGAGGTTACCGTCCCATTCGTCGTGTTCGTTTGCTTGCTCGCTCGGTCGCAAGGAGAAGCATAAACCGTCACGTGATCTCCCGTCATCCTCGCAGCTGCAGTGGTGGCTTTTGGCTGGCCTTTGAACGAAGACGGTCACCGCGTCGCGCGCTTTCAGATGCACTTCTATGGCCGTCTGGAACGCTCTTCCGTCTGATATTAGGAAACCACTGGAGATATGCCCCGTTAAATCATCTAGATTGAGAACTCATTTCTCTAGAACTGCGTTTTATGTTTCGTTTGTTGTCCTTCCCCGCACCTCCAATTAGCACGGTGTGCTATTTACGGTGCGATATGAGTTCAATAAACACGCACACGTTGTTCATTCATTGATTACTTTTGTTCACGTATTATTTCATTCGTTTGTATATTCACACAACAAATGAGTGAATGCTAGACAGGGGATCGTTGACCTTTGCCGTCGTATACGCACACGGATAGACGCACGCCACGGAGAATGCACGCGCGCGTGCATCCAACACACCTGACCGCGCACCTGGGATCGTGTTGTCCAGAACGAATGCGACGCAGCCGCCCACGAACATCTCCGTGGTGAGTAGCACCGTGAGCACCTGGTCCAGCTCCACCACACCTGTGCGGGTGGGGCGGGGGTAGGGGGTAGGGGGTAGGGGGTAGGGGCCCCACATAGGTAAACATCGGCGTTCGTCTTTGCTGCACGCGTGTTCTCGCCGTCTCGAGCAGGTGGGTGGGTGGCCAGGTTCGGACGAATGGGTCATGACTTCAGTGTAACCGTAGCGTGTTTAAAGGAAGGTGGTCCTCGGCTTGGTTTCAATTTCACTGAGGCTCATCGGTGAGGCGCGGTCTCATAGTTAAATGCCACCGGATGCCGCACGTGTCCAACAACATCTGGCCACGCACGCACACAACGACAAAGATCCCCCGTAAAGCCTTAACACACTGTTGGCGCAAGCAACACACACCTGCTCACGGCCAATACCATTGACGATTATCTGAAGCGGCCCTGGGCCTCCCCGAGGTCGACTCATGCCCAAACGAGTACCTAGTGTGGTGTGTATATATCGCCACTGGGGAGACAAAGTGCGGTCGGGAGTGGAGTTGGCCACCCACCCCCCCCCCCCCTCGTGTGCCGTGCCAACATTCACAGGTGCTACCCGCTAACAGCACTTGCCCCAACAGTCTGTTAAGGCTTTATGGGGAATCTTTGTCTTTGTGGGCGAGCGTGCGTCACGGCTGGGATGTGGACTCACCGCTCTGCACCGGGTGCTGCTCCACGTAGCTGGGCAGCGTGAGCCCGAAGAACATGGAGAAGCCCAGCACGAAGAGGTTGCGCGAGGAGTTCATGTCCACGAACTGCAGGTTGGACAGCCCCACGGCCGTGATCATGCCTGGGGGGGGGTCACGGGGTCACGGGGTCACGTGAGGTGTGTGACTTTATCACCAATGTCATTACGATAGTGCATGGGGCAGAATCATCCGAAGGTGTCCATTGCACATTTCGTTATTTATCTCCACTTTGCGCTGTCTTGTGCCAATGTTCGCAAGCAGTTGGCCACATCTTTCTGGCACCAATCTCTTACGTCGTCGTCAAGCCCGTTTTCTGGTTGGCCTGTACGCCTCAGAGCGAATTGAAATTCGTTCGCTATATCCTAAATTAGTTTATTTTGCTAAAGATGAAGGGCGCAAACTTTTGTGTCCCCGAACGACAAGCCCGCAGTCGTGTGCTCGTGGCCATTAAACCAAAACTATCGACCTCGTAGTAAACCACTGCCCCGTCGTCTGCGCTCATTTTAATGGAGGAGGACGAGCATAAGTGCACGAACTCCCCGCACCTCCGATGAGCACGGTTAGCTACAGTACGTACGGTGCGAAAGAAGTTCAACATACATACAGCTCTCTCGTGAAGCTCTCTCGTCATGGCTATCACACCGCGACATTGCCACTTTGCTCCTGAAACATATTACCACGCGCAGGGATAGAATTGATATCCTGCACATGGGGATGCGTTTTGTTTTTGTTTTGACGAACGTGTCCATTTTTATTTGACCTATCAGCTCCGTTGTATTAAAGCGATTTACACTCACTTTAATAATAAAAATGATAACCACAACTTTCGGGTGATTTGGAACCCTGGAGTCTCAGAGGGATCTGGGGGTGACGACATGAAGGCGGTGGCTGGGGAGCGGGGGCGCATTTCGAGAGACTGCGTGCCTGGCCAGGTTTGGATGTCAAATCAGCAAAACATCAATGCGCGGGTGTCAAACGCAGGAGCCGGGGCACGGGTGCGCGTGCGTCTTTGTCCCAATGAATGGAACGCCTGCGGTTGTGCCAGCAGCTGAAATGTTTCAAATAAAAAAAAATAAAGAACGAAGAACAAAACGAGCGCGGACGCAATTAATGGAAACAAACTGTCAAGTTCCACGGCCATCCTCAAAACACGTCCCGGGTATTGCGTGCCGTGAGAAATGTCACTCGCATGATGGATGGCCTCTGCCTCTCTCGCCGTGCGAGCGCGGCGGGGGGGGGAATTCGCTCGCCGCTTCTACCGGGCGCCGCGGTGAGCACGCAACAAAGCAACCCCACGGCTGAGTCCACCACCACGGCTATGTCCACCACCACGGCTAAGTCCACCACCACCAACCCCACGGCTAAATCCACCACCACCACGGCGAAGTCCACCACCACTAACCCCACGGCTAAGTCCACCACCACCAAGCCCACAACTAAGTCCATCACCACCACCACCACCACGGCTAAGTCCACCACCACCAACCCCACAACTAAGTCCATCACCACCACCACGGCTAAGTCCACCACCACCAACCCAACGGCGAAGTCCACCACCACCAACCCCACAACTAAGTCCACCACCACCAACCCCACGGCTAAGTCCACCACCACTGCACTACTGCTCCCCACATATACACATAGATGAAGATGACCCGTGTAGGCTTAACAGAGTGTTGGGGCAAGTGCTGTTAGCGAGTAGCACCTGTGAAAGCTGGCTCGGCACACGGGTTGGTTGGCCAGAACGACGCCCGACCGCTTTTGTCTCCCCAGTGCTGATATTTACACAGCGTACCGGGTACTCATTTAAGGCTGAGTCGACCTAGGGTCGGCCAGGTCCGGTTCAGATATTCGTCACCGATGTTGGCCCATGAGAGGGAATGTGAATCGGGTCACCGGGTTCGTAGCGCAGTGCGCTAACCACTACGCCACCGCTCCCCATCAACAACACACATTGCACCCACACACGGCTGCGTACACACATATACACACGACGGAGAGCACGCAACGTGTTGAGGCCCGTATACACATGGCACAACTTCACAATGGCCTCTCTGTTGCCCTCCACGCATTCCTATAGAGCCCGTGCTGCGCGCCCAGCGTTGGGGCTGCTTTGGGTCACTCAGTCACCTCTTAAGGGCCCCAAGGGCCAGTTTCCGTGCTCACTCAAACAAATCCAGCCAAGTGGCATCACAGCCCCGACAAAATCCCCCCCCCCCCTCCAAGCCACAAGTGCAACCAATACATCACCGAATCTGAGTTAGCGCAGACCTATGCAGCGCACGAGCGAGTGGTTTTTTCGCGTGTTTTCGCCTTTGAACATTCGCTGCTGAATGTATGCTTTAACGTGATGAGTGGTGGTGGGGGTTTGTTGTTGTGAAACAAGGCAGCCTCACAGGCCGCCTGCCCTGCGTGTTTCTCCCGCTGTAGGAGTTACTGGTGATCGGCCGAATGTGTCCACTTGGCGCGATCATAATACCGATGATGATTGTGGTGATGAAAACGGCGTTGATGGTTGATGGTGAGAGAATGGTGATAAGGCTATGACTCCGATGATGGGGCACGTGCTGTTGGTGAGCACCTACGAAGGCCGCTTGGGGCGCACGAGGCGGTGAGCGGCCGGCACCACGTCCGGCCGCCGTCATTTCGCCAGTGCTGATGTTTTACGCACTGTGCAAGGTATTGATTTGAGGTTGGGTCGACCTAGGGGAGGTCCAGGCACTGTTCAGATATTCGCCACTGACGCTGGCCACGGGCGGGCATCAAACTCGGGTCTCCTGGTTCGTCGTGCGGTGCGCTAACCACGACACTACCGCTTCCCATGACTTTCCCACCCTCCCCCCACACTACTCACACGCGCATTGTGTAAAGGTAATCGTTGTGCCGTGGTGGATCAGCGAGGATGCCATGGCAAGGGGTCAAGCAGGTGACCCCTGATATGCGTGTGTAAATCTCCACACCTGCGCAGGTACACGGAGAGGAAAGGGGGGGGGGGGCAGCGGGGATGGGGGATGGGGCTCCCCTTTTCTCGTAGGGATCCAGGAGGGAGACGCGGACGTGCGGTTCTCCCACGACGCGCCCGGCTCTCAACAAAAGCCGCAGGCGCGCGCCAGTCACGCAGGTGCCCCGCCGCTAAAGTCATCACTGAGGATGAGGTCATGGACGACGACGATGATGATGGTGATGATGGACTGTGGGTCGTGTGTTGGTGTTAAGGTGTGTGTAATTGGTGTCCATCTGGTACAGATACAATGGGAGGCTGATCGATGCCAGGGTGCTGTCAGGGAATGGCTCCCTATTGGTCAACCACGTTATGTATGCCGACGACCTGGTAATTGCAGCTCACTCAGAGGAGGAGTTGGAGGCGCTGCTGCTGAAACTGGAGTATGCCACTAGGAGGTGGGGCCTTACCATCAGCTCCACCAAAACGAAGCACCTGCCTGGGTATTTTTGTACCATCGGGCACTCCACCACTAATCGGTGATGGGGCAGTTGTGGAGAGATTGGAGAATTTTCCAAACCTGGGCAGTGTGCTTATGACCGGCTCCGGTCTAACAGCAGAGGTCTCACTCCGAATCAGTCGAGGGGCATTATCTTTTCGTCGGTTGCGAAACGCTGTGTGGAAGCTACCTGGTCTGTCACTCCGCACGAAGCTTCGTGTCTTCTCGGCCACAGTCATTCCCTCCCTTCTCTACGCTTGCGAAACGTGGACCCCCCTAATGGAACATCTTCGCCGGTTAGAAACATTTTGGCTGGCCTGCCTACGATCAATCCTAGGTTTAACCAGGCTGGATAGTGTGAGGAGCTCACAAATCCTCGAAAAATCTGGACAAAGTCCCATCGGTGAGCACCTCCGGCAGGCAAGGCTGCGTTGGCTGGGCCATGTAGCCCGCATGCCCAAACAGCTTTTGTTCGGCCGGATCGAGGGCGCTAAACGGGCGCGGCACGGGCTAGAGAAGAGATGGAGTGACGTGGTACAGGAGGATGTGGAGCTGAGTGGACTTGCCGATGACTGGTACCAGCGGTGTCAAGATCGGCCTCTGTGGAGGAGGCTCGTGAAGGACGCTACAGGGCAGTTGGAGGCAGTCGCCCTCCAACAACAACAGAGGGCGGAGGAGCGACGCTCACAACAACGTGCGGAGTGCCGGGTGGCTAAAGCACAGCAAGTTGTCACAGTAAGGGGCACAGGTGGTGCATCAGCCAGTCATCTCGGTCATCTCAGTTAGTCGACCCGTGGCACCTGGGCCAGCCCCGTGACCTCCTGCCAGCGGGCGTTCGACACTTCACGTGGCCTCGAGGTGCACATGGCCTGACACAAGCGTCGTGGTGACGTCACCGACACTTAGTGGCGAATGGCGGTTGTTGTTTTTGTAATTGGTGTCGGTGCGAGGTGTGTGTAATTGGTGTTGGTGCAAGGTGTGTGTAATTGGGGTGGGAGGTCAACGAGTTGTTAGTTCAATGCGCTACGGGCCTGATGACCTGAGCTTGTTGTTGTAACTCGCAAACCCTCTGGACATGACAAGCCACTTCGTTGAGCTATCATTTGTGGCCAGGTCACTTCTGAAAAAGAGCGCTATAGCTCGGTGGGGCTTACCTGGTGAAATAAAGCGTAGTTTACAGTTGTGTTTTCGTGCCATTACCAGCGGACACCTCGCCATGCTTCTTTGCAACAATTCTCGGTCGTTGCACGCGAGATCAAACGAGGCGATGATGCCCCGAGTGCGGACAATGTGTCCAGGCGGCCCGGTCAATTAAGGACGGGAGCCAAGTCAACCCAAGCCTTGCGCAACCGACCGTGCACCGGGTCAACATGTTGGTGGTGGTGGTGCACTGGTGTGATTGCCACGTGAGAATGAATGCGTCTGGTCTACGCTGAACAAAAAGCAGAACCGTGTTCTTATCTGAGTCATTGATAAACATTGAGGGTTCAGGGGCCGACTCGAGATGCCTCGAGTGTTCTCAGGGGTCAGAGAGTCTGAGCCGGCACCCGCTGAGGGTTTTAAATCTTGGTTTCTGCTGCCATTGGTTAAACCGAGCTCTCAAGTGTCGTGAGTTGTTGGTGTCAGCCCAGTGAACGATGAATGGACCCAGACTAACCTGTTAGAACGAATTCACTGTTTGGCTGAATTGGGCAAACAAATTCCAGCTCTTGAGCTTGAACAAGTGTCAGCGTGTGGCTGCCACGTGACGCACATCTCTGCTGCAGAGAATGCGGGAATGCGAATTCGAACCTCGGACTCTCAACGACACCGGCTCAGCGTCTCAGACGCTGCCATCATGAACCCCCCCCCCCCCCCCCTCCCCGAGCCGCTCGCCCCTTACCAAAGAGGGTGCAGAAGAGCGCGCCGAGGATGGGGTCGGGCAGCGAGGCGAAGAGCGCCGTGAATTTTCCCACGGTGCCCAGCAGCAGCATGATGCCCGCCCCGTACTGAACGACGCGCCGGCTTCCCACCTGCGGACACCGACGCGGCCACAGCGGAGCAGCGCGGAGTGAGACAACGCCGTCCGCTCCGTTCGCTTTCTCGTGGCCACGGGCACAGTTGGAGTACCGTGAAGGGGTCGTGGTTCTTCACTCATTTTTAGAGGGGAGGGGGAGGAGGGGCGGAGGCACTTTTCCCCGATTAAACATCATCAGAGGGCCGACACACATTTGCAACCGTTGGGGGTTTGACAGCAGCACAATGATGATGGGTTTCTTTTTATCCCATTTGTGTATTGTCAGGCTGTTATATTCTGAACTTTCAGGTCATTCGCCCTATTCTGCCGTTACATTCTCAGCATCCTCCGCATGAACCACGTCCCAAAAATGCTAGCGGAAGATTCCCGTCTCGTTGGAATGTTCGAGTCTAGCTGTCTCAGACCGATCCTTAGAGGGGGGGGGGGGGGGGGGGGAGCAAGCACCACGCGCATTGTCGCCTGACTGTTTGTGATGATGTGCACACGAGGCCAGGCTTTGAAGAACGTTGAAATAAGTTGGCTTTCACAAAACGATATTCATGCTGACATGTTCCACCCCTCGTTTGTATCCCCCCCCCCCCCCCCCCACTGAGCGAATGTGACAAATGAGTGTACTTTTTAAGTGATGCCCAGCAGTCAAGGCAATTTATCGGATGTTTAAATGAACTGCGTGAACGCATGAGATGTGACCTGGGAATACTTGATAACTCACTTAGAATTGTTTATATATATAATAACCCATGCCAGCTCCATTTAATCATTTCATTGTAAGGTCATCAAAGGTGGTGGTGGCTTGGGGAAGATCTTAATCCAGCAGTGGATTGACCACGACCGACTACGATGGACTTCGTTTGAACACTTTGCAGTCCGCGTTTGATTGCACACGGTCTTTGTTTCATTGCGTCGTCTCCCCACGGACAGCTGCACAATGAAGACAACACATTCACGAAACATTCACGAAACATTCACTCTTTTTTCCTCCACTTAAATCTGCCTACTCTGAACAAACGTCTACATTATTGAGGGGGGAAAACTCAACACGTTCGCCAATAACGCTGCTGCCTTCAAAGGAAACGCATAGACTAGGAAACGTTTCTGGCAATGGCCCTTCTCCATAGCGCGTGAAAATCTATCGTCTGAAACGCCATCTGTTATATCTTTAAAGGCCACAGTGTTATCGACGAATGTGTGTTTGCATTGTTAACTGTGCTTGTGCACCACTGCCAACGCAGCAGCAGCACCACCAAATACTTTTTTTTCAATTTCTTGACGTTGAAAACTCTGGGCTTGATACAGCTGTCGTGGCTGTGACGGTACCACCTGAAGACGGAAGCTTGTGTTGCCTCCGAAACGTCGTGATTTTTATTTTATTTTACTTTTTAATGTTTTTACCTATGTGACTTTACCGAAAAAACCTAAGAATATGAATCATTGCAGTCACGAAAGCTTCAAATCTAGAACTATTATAAAGTGTTTTTTTGTCCGGGCCAACCTCCTCAAATGACCTCCTAGTTTTGCAATGTCGCATGGACCAGACCGCTCTTGAATGTGGTGAATTCACGCACGGGCCGCTCACGCCCTCTGACGGGCAGAGTTAAGATCGGAGTTGATGTTCGGAGCTGGGAGGGAGGCTCGGGTATAGAGTTAGGGCTCGAGTTAGAGGCTTGGGTTAGGATTAAGTGAGGCTGAGTGGGATTAGGGTAAGAGCTTGGGGTTGGCTACGCTTAGGGGTTAGAGGTAGAGTTTAGGATTAGGATTGAGAGTTAGGATTTAAGCTGAGTGTTTTGAGTTCAGCGTTATGGTTGAAGATTATAGTTCAGGGTTAGAGTTCAGAGATTGAGTTCAGGGTTAAGGTTAACGGTTAGAGTTTATGGATTGATTCAAGGTTAGGGTTTATGGTGTGAGTCGGGGCTTGTATTGTGGTCTTGAGTTCAGGGTTTTGGGTTAGAGTTCAGGTTGAGGGTCTATGGTGGACCCTGGTCCTACCTTGGTGATTCCCAGGACGCCGATATTTGGACTAGAAGACGTGGATCCGTTCCCAGTACCGAATAATCCGGCGATGATGCACGACAATCCTTCCATGAAGATCCCTCTGCCCACACACACACACGTCGCTTTGTCAGATGTCCACTCACAGCAGCATGACACGACAAGCCGTTGTGCCAGGCTAGGTGCCGTGTGGTGTGCACCACATTGCCTGGGAGTGGCGGCAGATGCCACGCGTGGCTTCTGAAATCAATCTGGATTCCATGCCATGATGCTGAGAGCACAAAACTGGGAAGAGAGATTGTTTTAAAATAGTATTAATATCTTATTTAAAATAATGTGTGTATGAAACTTCCTGGCTGACTGCTGTCTGGGCTTCTCTCCATCCCAATCGTAAACCCGATTGTTAGTGGCTTCAGACCGTCGCCACCAAAACTAGCTGGGTAACTGGCAACATGGGATTATGCGCGTAACAAATGAGCATTGAATGGAGTTGAAACTGTGGACGAAGAAGTTGGGAGACATTTGATGGATATCAACGCCCAAGGGGTGGGAGAAACAACTGCAGAGAGACCAGACTGCCGGGGTTCATCTACTCCAGAATATCCATTAAATCCTAACGAATATAACAAAAACATCAGAATACGTATCATCTTGGAATATCATTACTACATGAAAAAGAAGAGTACCTTCAGTACTCCAAGTACAGGAGGATTTAACACGTAGGCTTTCGCGACCAATATCATCCATAATACGGGGGGGGGGGGGGGTTAGACAAGGGCACGACCAACATAATGGTGGTGAAATGTCAACGACCTCGCCTGGTTTGCAGGAGGCAGTGGGTTCCATACCCCGACCCAAACGCCTCTCCCCGTGATCACGTGGACTTTTCTCGGAGTTTTCCGGTTTTTCTCTCCACGTTTAGAATCAACATCACCACGCGTTTAGAGGATTTTAATTTGGCTGCAGCTCTCAATTTCCCGTTGACGTTAAACCACTTGGTTGAGCTATCATTTGATGGCCAGGTTGCTTTTGGAAAAACAGCTACATAGCTTAAGTGGGCTTTACTTGGTGAAATATTTTGTTTTGTTTATATATGTTTTATAGATTAACTTTAGTTTTCCGATGAGAGGAGGATCGTGACAACAGCATCCACAACACGACAGCCGTCTCTTTCAGGGGGCTTCGAAAAAATGTTAACACTTTTACATGCGACTATCGTTTTTAATTAAAAAAAGAACGAATGCACTGTAACTTGATAACAAATGTAATGTTAATAGCGTCAAAAATTCAAAGAGTCTCTCCACTTGTTCGCCATCGTTGTCAACGCGTGCCTGAAATCTTCTCCAAGTGGTCCCCAGAGCCCGGAGGAGGCACATTTCTTCGTGGTTTTGTTGTAAATTTCTCAGAAGCGTTCAACATTTTTGTTTGAAGCACCCTGTAGTATTCCGCAGCGGAGCCACCCACGTGGTTCCCGTGCTCGCCGTACCTGTTGATCGCGTGCACCGGTGGGGCCGGAGCCCCGCAGAGACGCGCGCACGCGTAGTAGTCGCCGATGGACTCGATGATGCCCGCCAGCACCGCACTGAACATCCCCACCACGCCGGCCACCGTCACCACGGGCAAGCCCCACTGGCCTGCGCGCACCGCGGGAGATGCGCGTGTGTGTCCGTGCACGTGTGTGCGTGTGTGTGCGTATGTGTGTGCGTGTGTGTGTGCGTGTGTGCGTGTGTGCGTGTGTGTGCGTGTGTGTGTGTGCGTGCGTGTGTGTGTGTGCGTGTGTGTGCGCGTGTGTGCGTGTGTGTGTGTGCGTGTGTGTGTGCGTATGTGCGTGCGTGTGTGCGTGTGTGTGTGTGCGTATGTGTGTGCGCGTGTGTGTGTGAGCGTGCGCGTGTGTGTGCGCGTGCGTGAGTGTGTGTGCGCGTGTGTGTGTGCGCGTGTGCGTGTGTGCGTGCGTGTGTGCGTGTGTGCGCGTGTGTTCGTGTGTGCGTGCGTTTGTGTGTGCGTGTGTGTGTGCGCGTTGGGGGAGGTGGGGGTTAATCGTTGAGCGGTAGCGCAGTAGATTTTGCATGGCTCTACGAATCTACTTTGACCCACATTCCATCCCCCTTCGCGGCTAACATCACACCCCCCCTCCCCCGGGCCTTTCCCTAGGTCGACTCAGCCTTAAACGAGTACTTGGTGTGGTGTGTGTAAATGTCGGCACTTGGGAGACAAAACGCGGCCGGTTGTGCCGCGCTTACCACACCATCCTCCCATGCACAGCACTAGGCCCAGCAGTCTGCTAAGAGGCTATATGGGGGATCTTTGTCTTTGTTGCGTGTGTGTGTGTGGACGCACATGGGTAGGCGATCCTGAACCAGGGCGCCCTGCTCATGATGTCTCCGCGCGCGTCCGTGCGTGCGTGGAATCCGTACTCCTCTTCCCGCTCCGGGAAGACTCCGCTGAGTGTGAGCACGTAGCAGATGAGCCAGGACAGCACGATGGCCATAATGATCTACGTACAGGGCGCGGGGGAGGACATCTCTACACGTGGTGGCGATTCCCTGCAGCGGCAAGAGGCCGATTGCATTCACCACGGTTGGTGGTGCAAACAGAATTGGACTTTGCCCTTTCCGGCAATCATCCAGGAGGCGTTAAGATGTTCAAACGCCACATAAGACACCTATTGCAAATGCATCAAGTCTGCAATAACCACGCATGCTTCTGGTAAAACGTGCATATAAACATGCTTTGATAATAGTCCCATATATATATTCACCACGATTCTGAATACAATAAAAACTAATTTTAATTTGAGTCATGACCCTGGCTAGCAGCAATTCAATGAATCACATGGGTGTGGGGAAGGGTGATTGTGGAGGGAATGGATTTGATTTATGTACAACCAGTTAACCACCGTGCCACCAGTTGAGCACTGGTGGCACAGTGGTCAGTGCACTGCGCAATGAGCCAAGCCACGCGAGTTCAATTCCCTGCCGCGACCAAGCATCACTGTGCGGCTGGCTTGAAGTGGGATTTGTTGGGGTAAGGCACTACCACTTGATTACAAGGTAGGCCTGTCTATAATAGTCTTACGAGGACAAAATCACTGTCATGAAGGCACAACATAGCGAGATGGATGTGTTCCGGCTGAAATCGAGCAAGTGATTTCCAAATCGCCCCTGAATCTCACTCCCCCCCCCCCCTTACACTGACCAGCATGATGAAGTATGGTCAACCAATCCCCCGTAATCCAGCAGCAGTAGCAGCAGCTCCACAACTCACGGGAAACATCTTGAAGATTTGGAAGCGGTTGGTGGAGCATCCCTGTCCGCGGCGATACACGGGCACGGGCACGGAGGTGTTGCGCAGGTACTGCGAGAAGAGGATGATGAGCACGATGGCCCTGCAGGTGGGACGACGGCACACAGGTGTGGCAGGGGGGGGGAGTGGGGACAGATATCTCAGACATCGATGTTTAAACTGGTGTTGGTACTGGACACCTGTGAAAAGGAGCTTCATAGCTTATCGGATTCCTCCAGTATTAATACAGATTCTGTGCCAGGCTTGGACAAGGTCATCGCCCGCTACTTCTCACGAAGGCAATCGGAGAGCACAGACGAAACATACACAGATATTGGTTGACTTATCCAGTAGGTGGCACGTGACTTGGAGCCACAGCCCATGTTAAGTCCCGGCGAGTGCGCTAAGCCGCTGCTGCTGCTGTGGCCGAGGGTGAAACATGAAAGTGATGGGCGCACCTCCGTTTAGCGCGGTTGGGCTACGCATGGCGTGAAAAAAGAAGTTCAACATGCATATTTACCAGCGTCAATTCAGTGAAAGAGGGTCCATGGATAGAGTTACTGGATAGCGTGGTCAAGGTAACAGCTCGGAGTATGGTCTGGACTGGTTGTCTAGCGTAGTGATGGTTACCGGGTGGGGTCTGCCTATCGAGTCGTCGTGCTTGCTTGTGTGGTAAAGGATATGCCTAGTAAAGTGAGAGTTGTGGTAGGATCTGCTTGGCTCTTGTGTTTACGGTTATGGCTAGCTTCTGGCGGTCGAGCATGATTAGACGTACGCCGAGCATCGGCGTACGTCTAATTCGTGACGAATCTCTCTCCCTCCTGGTCTGTGTATCCACCACTCCCTCCCCAACCACCCCCATCGTCCCGTGCACTGCGCCCACATGGCCGAGATGCCCCAGTGCCGCCCGGCGCGGTCCCCCGCCGCTTGGAAGACGGAGAGGCCGATGAGCGAGACGGTCGGCGTGACGGTGAGCGGACCGATGTAGCTCAGCATGGCCCCGGGCAGCCCAGCGAGCCCGATGAACACCTCCACCAGGCACGACACGATGATGGAGCCCTGGATCTGAGTGACGATGATCGCCGTGGCGGTGGCGGTGGTGGCGGTGGTTGTGTGGATGGGGGGGGGGGGGTGAGAAGAGATCGAATTAATGTTACATATATATCTGTACCCGTGTGTATATGTCTCTCGTGAAGGACGCGGCTGGGCAGTTTGTGGGAATCGCCCTCCAATAACAACGGAGGGTCGAGGAGCGATGCTCACCACAACGAGCGGAGCGCCGGGCGGCTAAAACACAGCAGGTTGACGCAGTGTGGACAAAAGGTCGTGCATCTGCCAGTCATCTCGTTCAGTTAACCCATTACACCTAGGTCTGTCAGCGAGCCTTCGACACGTCACGTGGTCTCGAGGTGCACCTAGCTTGGCACAGGCGCCGTGGCGAACGTCTCCGCCACTCAATGGCGAACGGCGACTGTTGTTGTTGTTGTTGATGTTGTTGTTGATGTTGTTGTTGTGCGCCTCTCGTCACCTCTCTGATGCGTGGGTGCCACGTCTCTGACGTATCCAGAATGCCGTTCGTCCCGTTGGGGTAGATCATCGCTGCGGACGGCACACGGCAATGCACGGCGCGCCTACCATCAGGAGACCCGGGTGAATTGTCAAGGCTAAGTTGGGTTTACCGGCCTTAAACTACTGAAACGAAACTATGTATATATATATTTTTTTATTTCACCAGGTAAGGCCCAACGAGCTATGTCGCTCCTTTTGAGAAGAGACCTGGCCACGAATGATCGCTCCACGAAGTGGCTTTCTCGCGTGCAAATTTATGGGGGGGGGGGGGGGGGGACCAGAGGACCGGATAAAAATCCAGGCCACCACAGAGAGAGAGGACTTCAAATTGACAGCAGCAGGCGTCAGATTTATGATCGAACCATCACCAAGCGAGGTAATTAACATCTCGCCACCATGGCGCCCTAACAGGAGCTCGCTAACAGCACCTGTCACTGTCCCCGTGACCAATGGTGATGGTGATACTGCCACCCCTCGCCATGGCTTCCGTCCTTCCACCAGATCCCCAAAAAATAGGAATATCGATGCGCGTCCTTCCAAAGGGAAAACCAAACCCCTAATAGTGAACAGGAATACAAGGATGACAATGTTTATGTGTTCCATATGTTTTCAGATAACACTTAAAGGGCACGGTGAGCGAGTTCCAAGGGGAAATGAGCGGCACGTTTATGTTGCAATGCGGTAAATTCACTGAAACGGCACGACTGGACTTTGGTTGGGAAGGAGCGGAGTCATTCCTCTCGCTCAGGGGAACCGTCTCCCTCCCTGAGAGCCAAACCAGGACCCTCAATGCAGAGGGGTCACGGAGCACGCTCAGAAAACGAAAAGCACGCTCATTGGTCAATCAGTTCTGCCGAGTTCAAGTTGATTTTGTGTAACCAGGCGAAAATGCACGAGAGATAGGGAGTCTCATTTGCAAGAGTGGACTGGGGCATCACTCTGCCGGTAGGGTGGCGATGATTTCTGCTGCTGCTGTGTGCGTAACCCCAATTGAGTTCATTTGCGGTTACATATTCGAATTTGGAAAATTTGAAACCTGACGCCGTAGAATGACGTCAGGGGGAGATCTTTAACGGCCGCTGTGAAGCATCGTCATGGTTCATTCATCCGCGGTTATAATCGTGGCGGCCGTTGGATTTGAACCGTGACGCTCTGTAACGTGCGGCGAACTCGCCACCGCCGGGCCGCGTCACCGCACCTTAGATGGTTGCATCGATGAGTAAATATTGTTTGCGAGCCATTTTCGAGTGGTAGGCCACACATGCACATCCGATTAGCACGGTCGGCTACGTGTGGTGCGAGGGAGTTCAACGTCCATACAGACGTGCTGCTGCAGGCTGTATGAAGTGAAGCCGCGAGCTGTACCTGGCCCACGGGGGATTTTTCCTGAGCACTGAATGAGTGGGCGTGGGTGCGTGCGTGCACCCTGTGGAACCCACATGCGTCCGGACACTTCCACTTGTCCAGGGCGAGGATGGCACGGGCTGGCACCAGGAAGGCAAAGGCGCTCGCCTGAAACAAGGGCAGTCCTTGGAGCAACACGGGGTCGGGGTTAGAGTTGGGGTTGGGGTGAGGGTTACTTTCAGAAGACATGGGTTAGCTGTCTCTTAGAATACTGCATACGGGCACATGTGTGGTAAATTGCATGAATTACCGGGTGCATGCGGATGCGATGGCCATGTTGATGGTAACAGTGATGATGATGGCGACAATGATGTATTTTATGACAGCCACGAGATGTGGTGAATTTAGTCCCCGCCGATAATTTTACGGGAACTGAACGGATGATGTTTCTCAAGGTGCTGGCTGGAAAAAAAACTTGTCCGCCCACCTGCACCCGAAGGTGGTCTGCAGGAGCGTGGTGATGCCCACCACGGTGAAGATGGTGCCGATGAGCTGGCTGATGGCCACCTGGTCCTTGCCCACGCACATGGCTTCGGCCAGGAGGAAGGGAACCGCGATGGTTCCGCTGAAGCAGGTGAGGTAGTGCTGTCGTGCAGAGATGTGCTCGTCGTCATCGTCGTCGTCCTGACCGTCGTCATCATCGTCATGCTGGATGACCCTCACCTCTTCCAAGTCTTCTGGCCAGCATTGGAACAGGAGGATGAATTTCCTCTAGATCGGGTCTCTTGAACTCGTTACAGCGGAGCACCTTCTCCCAGCAATGGGATGAGCAAGGAATTGCAAGGCTAAACCTTTACTATTTTGTTTCCTTCCTACTGGACATCTGTGAAAAAAGAGCTGCATAGCTCATCGGATTCCCTCAGTCTAAATACACATTCGGGTGGGACTGATATCCCTGGATACCCCCAGCCGAAGAAGTGACTCCAGCATGACATCACTTAACCAATCAACTTTCGCTGACGTTTGATTGCATTCAATGCCGCTGTCTTGCAGGTTGTATGTGTGCTTGCATCATGCCCATTTGCCAAATCAGAAAAAAAATCAACAGTGACATTGCCCCCTACTCGTGGGATGATGCTCACATGCAGGCCGGTGCTGCACAGAGACAACTGCCGTCAGGGATGAGTGAGTGCATGGGTGAGTGGTGTTGAGACCTGCAGTGTGGTAAGTGGGTGGGTGGGTGAGTGAATGGGTTAGTGGTGATGTGACCTGCAGTGTGGTAAGTGGGTGGGTGAGTGAGTGCATGGGTGAGTGGTGTTGAGACCTGCAGTGTGGTAAGTGGGTGGGTGGGTGAGTGAATGGGTTAGTGGTGATGTGACCTGCAGTGTGGTAAGTGGGTGGGTGAGTGAGTGCATGGGTGAGTGGTGTTGAGACCTGCAGTGTGGTAAGTGAGTAAGTGGGTGAGTGGGTGAGTGAGTGGTGATGTGACCTGCAGTGTGGTAAGTGGGTGGGTGGGTGAGTGAATGGGTTAGTGGTGATGTGACCTGCAGTGTGGTGAGTGAGTGGGTAGGTGAATGGGTGAGTGGTGTTGAGACCTGCAGTGTGGTAAGTGAGTAAGTGGGTGAGTGGGTGAGTGAGTGGTGATGTGACCTGCAGTGTGGTAAGTGGGTGGGTGGGTGAGTGAATGGGTTAGTGGTGATGTGACCTGCAGTGTGGTGAGTGAGTGGGTAGGTGAATGGGTGAGTGGTGTTGAGACCTGCAGTGTGGTAAGTGAGTAAGTGGGTGAGTGGGTGAGTGAGTGGTGATGTGACCTGCAGTGTGGTAAGTGGGTGGGTGGGTGAGTGAATGGGTTAGTGGTGATGTGACCTGCAGTGTGGTGAGTGAGTGGGTAGGTGAATGGGTGAGTGGTGTTGTGACCTGCAGTGTGGTGAGTGGGTGGGTGGGTGAGTGAATGGGTGAGTGGTGATGTGACCTGCAGTGTGGTAAGTGGGTGGGTGAGTGAGTGAATGGGTGAGTGGTGATGTGACCTGCAGTGTGGTAAGTGGGTGAGTGAGTGAATGGGTGAGTGGTGTTGTCACCTGCAGTGTGGTGAGTGGGTGAGTGAGTGAATGGGTGAGTGGTGATGTGACCTGCAGTGTTTTAAGTGGGTGGGTGGGTAAGTGAATGGGTGAATGTTGGAATTGTCAATCAACCCGCACGCTTTACGTCGTTGAATACAGGTGTTCTAGAGGGACTGAGACCGGCCACACACTCACCTGGAAGCCCAGTAGGAGACACAGGTACCATGGAGGGACGTCCTCAATCTTGTAGATCATGTCAAAGCTGCTCTGTTGGCTGCGTCCTGCGGTCTCGCACACCCTGCAGGGTCGCTGAGCGACACACCTCCATCATCATCATCACCATCATCATCATCACCATCATCATCATTCATCAAAATCACATTTATTTATAGTGAATTTGCATTTTATACGAGGGATGCTGCAGTGATGTGTTTGGTCATCGCGCTGGAGTTGCAATCCAGTTGCTTGGCGGTTCGATTACGTCTCCTGGACGTCACTACGTTGCACGTGGCTGTCTGTAATCCAGCAAAACGGGGTGAAACCCCCTTCCCGTGGGCATTGAGGAGGTACCGTACCCTGACTCGCCAGGAGAAGGCAGTGCAGCTAGTGGACTAATCGCCATCTGGTGTCATCTGTACGGCGATAGAGTGTTGGCCCCCTCGCACAATGCGTGGATTTTCTCCGGGTGCTCCGGTTTCCACCTCCCGCGTGCATAACAAACACGACTCTTCATTAATTTATAAAAACACGCCAGTGTAGCGACAGGACCCTTCTGCAAAAAAAAAGAGTCATACGACTCGGCGTGGCTCTCCTGGACACACGAGTAAAGCAGTGATGGGCGTCCCTGGCACGTGATGATAATAATAACAACGACGAACAACACCGCCGGGCAAAGACTCACGTCCCCTTCGGCTCGCGACTCCAACGGACGCCCCAGGTCTCCCACCACTTGCCGTCCTCCATTCACGTACGAGTGTTCCTGCAACCCATGCCGACATTGGCGATGCAATTAAAACAACAAGTAGCAGCAGCAGCGTTTCTCTTGTAGTTACCCGCCTAAACTAAAAACGAAACTGTTTCTTTTTTAACCTTACCAGGTAAGACCCACTGAGCTATGTAACTGCTTTTTCAGGAGCGACCAGGCCACAAATGATAGCTCAACGAAGTGGCTTATCGCGTGGAAATTGATTCAGCCAAGGAATCTAAACGCGTGACGTTGATTCTAAATGTGGAGGGTAAACCCCGAGGAATCGGAGAAAAATCCACGCGACCACGGGGAGAGAGACAAACAAGCTCCAAATTACAGCAGGCGTCAAGGTCGAGATCGAACCCGCGACCTCCTGCATACCAGGCGAGGTAGTTAACATTTCAGGAGATTCTCACCAAGTCCCGCTTTGTCGAAATTTGACCAACTCCCTCCGAAAGGACGTTCACCACACAATTAGAACATCCGATTATCACGGTTGGCCACGCACGGCGCGAAGGAAGTTCAACACACACGACATTCATGGAAGAGATGGAGCGATGAAATAATCTCGCGTGCAGAAGTGAGATTTAATCTTTGCATCGCGCGACCGTGAGAGATAGCGACGGCTTTGGAAACATTCCTTCATCCGGCAGCGGATAATCGTGGCCACTGATGACAACGCCAATGATGGTGATGATGATGACGATAGCAATGTCAAATACAGCGAAGGACCCTTACCTTCAACCCTCCTTCCCCTCTCTCCGGGTCAGGCATCCCGTTGCTGCTCGCTTGCAGATCCGTCGATGCCATCGCCTCTCCCTCCAGGTCCCGTCGTTGTCTCGAAATCCCGAGCGGAGAGGAATCTGCGACCCCCCCCCCCCCTCCATCGTCGATTTGACGTCGCCCTTTGAGCCCCGCTCCTCTCATTCGCGTGCGTCACTCGATCACTCATTAATCGGCGATCTTCGCCGTCTTACAAATCTGTCCAACATCAGCGGCAAACGGAGGGGGGGGGTCACGCCGAGTTGATAAACGGGCAATGAGTAACTCGAACGATTTGCCGGCAACTCGATAATTGGTGACTAAACGTTTGCGTCGTGAATTTCGTGAATGCGAGACGCCAGCAAGTTGCAGGATGGGATCTGTGTGCATCTCCTATTCAGGTGGGGGGGGGGGGGGGGGGTGAGACGTATAATGATTTACACAGGGGAGAGCATCATGCAGGCATCGTGTTTAGTGTTTATACGACAACTGGTTGCAGCCGCATCACACGATCACTGCGCAAATCCGCGACACACGGAGGCGCACATGTACTGCCTTGTGCAAATCGCACTTGGCTACGTACGGTGCGAACGAAGTTCAACGTACATGCATCCATACGTGCGTTCATTGTGCTCCGTCAATGAATGTGGGAGGGGAAACCGGAGGGGATAACTCACGCGTGCGAGGTGGGGGAGGGGAGGGCGCCACCATCACAGATGGAGATTAGTCAACATGTGTGCACCTCCACCGCCCAGGTGCAAGTTCGTGACCGACTGCTTTGTTGCGTTGAAAGGGGCCCCAAAGCTTCAATTGAGTGCTCTTGCCAATAACATCTTGCCACCCAACGGCATGTGTCTAACAAGGCTGTGTAATGGTGATACTTAGAATGTTGACACCAGTCCAGGGTTTGTTTGCCCTAACGTTACTTGATATTACTTGTCTTGAAAGCCAATTCTGTAAGCTCATGGACTTGTTTTTATTCACGTGTCGAGGTCAAACGGAGGTCTACTTATCCAGTGCGGACAAGCATCACATCTGCGAGTCTCCAGACCCAATTTCAGAAAGGTGTTGCTCCAAGATGTTTGGCCAGTTTCTTGGTGGAGCGTGTTGTTCAGTGTGTGTGTGGTCGAGTTAGATTCGCACTCACGGCCATCATCAGTGACGATGATCTAAAACCGGTCCTGGGCCTCCCCTAGGTCGACTCACCCTTAACTCAGTACCTGGTGCGATGTTTAAAAACGTCGTCACAAGATAGACAAAGGCGGCCGGGCGTAATGCTGGTCACCCACCCGCTCGTGTGCCATGCCGGTCTTCATAGGTGCTCGCTAACAGCACTTGCTCCAACAGTCTGTTCAGGTTTTTTCGGTAAAGTCACGTAGGTAAAAAATAAAATAAACATTTACTAAAAGTGATAATAGAAATAAAATAAAATACATTTCTATTATTACTTTTAGTAATTTTTTATTTTATTTTTTACCTACGTGACTACCGAAAAAACCTAAGAGTATGAATCCTTGCAGTCACGAAAGCTTCAAATCTAGAAGTCTGTTCAGGCTACACGGGGATCTTTCTCTTTTGGTCGACTCAGCCTGACATGAGCACCTGACGCCGAGTGCAAACATCAGCACTGGAGAGACAAAGGTGGGCGGGCGTGGTCCTGACCACGCCACCCCCTCGGAAGGGGTGCCGCGCCGGCCTTCATGTTCAGGTCCGGATAGAATGTCGCATCGCGCGGTAGTGAGGGATGGCGACACAGAAGTGGTTAGATCATAGCTGATTCTGATGATCGAAGGATCTCGCCGGCTTGTTACATTATCATCAGCTAACGACATTGCTCGCTACTGTTTAATTGACGTTGGGTAAACATTGGCCTTTAGATTGGGCGCAAAATAAATGTTTACAGGTTAGAGGCTACCCCAGACACCGTGGGTGAGCAGTGGCTCGGTGCTTAGCACACAACCGCGCTGTGAACCTGGCAACACGAGTTACATTCCTAACTACAGCTAACGTCGGTGGCGAGCGGTATCTGAAAGTGTGGCTCGCCTCCCCACCCCTTTGCCCACCGACTGGCACCGACGCGCCGAGGGAAGTATGCTCGAGTAATCTCCGTGACCCACTCGGCATGAGAAGCCCTTAATACGGGCGGTGGATTGACAAAAGTGTTGTTCAATCATTTTAACTTACGGTATTTGAAAGATGTTGCCTTTAGCGCAATCACTAATCTGGGTTTAACGTCCCGTTAACACAATTTCTGTTTCACCCTGATGCAGAGTTCCATTGACTGTTTAGAGTCACCATCAGCCATGATCGGTCCACTGCTGGACGACGGGCCTTTGCTCACGTAGTCATCCATCTCTCTCGTGGTCCTGCGGTGTAGCAAGCGGACTTCCGTAACCGCTCCGTCTCCCGGCTGGACGGCCTCTCGGGTGCGTTTCTCTCCTTCTGCTTCTACTCCGTCGTTAGCCTCGACCACCGGCCGTTGGATTACTGCCCATCTCATTAACTTTTCTAAGCAACCAAAATTATGTATCGAGTATTTCGCTTGAGTGCCTCTGACTCTCGTTGTACAGGGTGCTTAAAAATTCTAGAGTTGATGCTTTCGTGACTGCAAGGATTCATACTCTTGTTTTTTTTTGGTAAAGTCACGTAGGTAAAAAATAATAATAATAATCAAATCAAATAATAATTCATGAAAATAACGTGACTTTACCGAAAAAACCTAAGAGTATGCTTAAAATATTTTTTAACACTTATATGGGACTATCGTTTTTAATTGATAAAGAACGGATACTTCACTGTAACATAACAAATGTGATGTTAGTAGCTTTCAAAAGTCAAAGAGTCTCCACTTGTTCGCCATCATTGTCAACGCGTGCCTGGAATCCTCTCCAGGTGGTCACCAAATCTCAGACGCAGCACATTAATTGTGGTGTTGTTGCAAATTCTTGGAAGTGTTCACATTTTTTTGAAGCACCCTGTATTTGCAATCAAACACCTCTCCAATCGCATGTGCACATCTTTCGCTCTTGGCTCCATGTTCTTTCTTAATGTCCTTGTTCATGGTCCACGTGTCATGGTATGTGATATTCTTCTGCGTTACGCGCATCGGCATTTGGTTTTTCATTATTCAGTAGAAACATATTTGAGATACTGCACTGACAGTAGTCACACCCCTCCCTCCCGATACGTTTCCATTCATTGGCTACCACATTCTGATGAGCTCCCCCCCCTCTCCTCCCCCCCCCCCCCTTCAACTTGCTTATAAGGGACTATATCTTGAATCATTGCCTCACTTGATGCAGCTAATTTGGCTGTGACGGTCCCACCTGATGACGGAGACTTGTGTTGCCTCCGAAACGTCGTGATTTTTTGTTTTATTTTATTTTATTTTCATTAATTTTGATGTTTTACCTACGTGACTTTACCGAAAAAACCTAAGAATATGAATCCTTGCAGTCACGAAAGCTTCAAATCTAGAATTAATCACAACACAGTTGTCAATAACACCGCCCTACAAGTCAAACAAACATAACATGCGTGACGTGTTAGGTAATTGCCCTTCAGCCCTTCATAGCAGAGAGATAAAGAGGGTCGTTCCCCCAAACGTCACCTATTACATAAATGTTTTGTAGTTTTTTTAGAGCATTTTATTGACGAATATTTAATTATTAAGTTCAGTTTTTGAAAATGACTTCGACCTGCTCTCGATATGTGAGCGCTCAAATTCTGCATTAACAGGTCAACAACCTACTTGATGTACTGCACCACACAGGCACTGTAACCCACTGTTCTGCAGAGCTGTGCGTCTCGCGTATGCTCCCATCTCTTCGTGGTCCACCCACCCATCCTCCACGTGGCGAGCATCGCTCCTGAAACACTTTAGCGCCTCCGAATAGCACGGTTGGCGACGTACGGTGCGAAGGAAGTTCAACGTACAATGAGAGGTTAGGTTATATCTTTACGCGATCTAACCCAAAAAAACCTATATTATGGATGATATTGGTCGCGAAAGCCCCCCTACTACGTGTTATAGTGAGAGGTGAGGTATCAACGGTTCCATAATTTGCTATTCCGCAACTTTAGCCGCCAGGTGGCAGTGTTAACCGCGTCTGATCACACCAATTTAATACAATTCATGAACATATGGGTACAGCCCTATGTCAATCCACTGATGGGTTGGTGATGATCTGGCTGTTGAGATAAGTCAGTGAGGTTTGGGCAGGACACATCATGACCAGAAGCGACGACGACGACGATGATGATGACGATGACGATGATGATGATGACGATGATGATGACGATGATGACGATGATGATGACGATGACGATGATGACGATGATGATGATGATGACGATGATGATGACGATGACGATGATGACGATGATGATGATGATGACGATGATGATGATGACGATGACGATGATGATGACGATGATGACGATGATGATGACGATGATGATGATGACGATGACGATGATGATGGCCGATGACAGAACCTGCTAATAAAGTTCATGTTTGGAGTTAATTTTGTGTGACCAGCTGAGAGCTCAAAAGAGACCAGCATAGACAGTCTCGTTTGCAAAGGTGGCCTGCGTCACTACATTGACGAAACGAAAACAAATTAAGTAAATTGCGCCGATGAATACAATTCATCGAGAGAAAAACAAAGTTGCTCGTTTGAGAAATGGAAAATGTTGCACCAACACAAATCAATGTAAAATTATGAAATACATAATTCCCTGTAGCTCAAGTCGGCTCGGAACGATAATTTTTAGATTATTATATTACAATGAAAACATTAAGTTACCGAAACATCAAAGACATACGATCGTGTGCATTAGTGCGATGGATCGTGGGATCGCAGGACCTCGAGGTATGGCGACATCGTGGGGGGGGGGGGGGGGGAGTCATTGCTCCAGCAGCAGACAAACCATGGCTGATGATAATGCAATGGATGATGATAATAATGATAATAATGTCTCCTGCTGCTGCTGCTGATGATGATGACGAATTGAACGGATTGTCTTCTCGCCTTGTGTATGGCTGCGCGGGCCACATGATGATGAAAAGGATGATCACGATGACGATGAGGAGTGATCATGGAAATGGCTG